ATCCGATATCCATTGTTGACAGATTAAATTACAATACAAACAAATAACTCGATCACCAACATTGCAATTAAAAAATCCAGCTGAAATCATTTGTGCTGCTGTAATTCCATGTTCATGATGCCAATGCGAAAATGTACGACGACGGATATTTTTCAAACTTTTGAGTTCAATTAACACATTTTCTTTGTCTGAATCAATCTTTCGATGTTGTACCGGCTTTTCTTGATTATCTGCAGTTGATATATGAGAAAATGACAATTCATTTGTATTCTTAAGTTGAACAAATAAACAATTAGGTCTCTGTTTTGCATGAATTGCAAATGGATCCATTTCTTTAGTCCATTCAGATACTCTCAGTCCACATGTTTTACAATAAGCAGTATTAATAGACTTTATATAGGTCCAACCAGCTGCATCCATAACATCATAGGAATGAACATTTTGCTTTTCCAGTTTCTGAGACATAGCCAAAATGCGTTGAAGTACTTCGTTTCTTAAAAAAGAGATTCGTTGTTTGTTTTCAAGAGATTTTAAAGTATATGTATTCTCTTTTGTTAAATGCATTGATTTTACTAGAAAATATTATATGAATTTAAGCTGATAATATTCAATAATGTTGAAAATACTTATTATCAAAAAATGAATATCATTCTTTATTGCAAGTATTTATATAGATAATAACAAAGGAAATTGCGTCATCCTTGTATGAGTCATTTTCAACTGGCTATTTCCCGATGGAAAATACCAACTAACATCCACTCAATCAAAATGTTAAACCTTAGACAATGCTCTTATCGATTAAAGTAAAGTGAACACAGTATGAAGAGGGAAAAAATTTCGCCGAAAGGACGTTAATATATGACTCACTCATGACAACTGATTTACCAAGTAGATGAATATTATTACGAAATTACAGTCTATGACACATGTGACAGAAAGGAAAAAACCAATATTTTTTTCAAAGGAAGAAATTACGCAAGAATAGTCATATTTTTTCTCTCACTATATTACATCATTACATTCGACACATTGCAAGCTTACGTTTACACACGAAATCGTCTCTTTAAAATTACATTTGGTATATTCGGCAAACGAAATTCTATACAACAAGATCTAACTACTTGTTCATTACCAAACACATTGAATTATTCTAAACAATTACTATGCGATTATTTGACCTTACAAAAAATGCAACACAATCAACAAATGATCAAAACTACAAAGAATTCTATAAGAATCCATTCAGTATGTACGACTTTATAGAATATATTTTTCGGGAAAAAATTGAATATCTATGAATTTTATTGTATTTTTAGACACTCAACGTGGAAATTTTACAGGCACATCGGTCACCTTTAAATACATCGATGCCGACCGAAATCAACGATTCTATTGATTTATCTCACGATCAATTTTTATTCGATTCAAATATTTTTCAAGAAGATGGTGTCATCTTGACTGAAGATGACTACAATGACTTGTCCATTGACTTAGATAATATAGATCCAACTGACTATTTGTTTAATTCTGATTCCAATATGTCCAACATGCAATCCAGTTCTCCACAAATACAATATGATGAAATGACAGAAGTATCGACAGATTCAGGTTCGAATGAGCTTGAACAAGATCAAAGGGATTCCGCAGTACCTTCTGATTCTACTCCGAAATTGACTCGATTTGGAAGTAAGAAAGTGATTAAATATTCCGCAGAATATTATGATCGACGATCGAAAAACAATGGAGCAGTACACAAATCACGAGAAAAGGCTAAAGAAAACAAGAAAGCAAGAGAGTTAAAAATGGCTATGTTAGCCAATGAAAATCAACAACTAATTAATCGAGTTGATCTACTTACGAAAGAACTGGAATCACTCAAGTCATCCTGCGAAGCATTCAATCAAATATTACCCACCAATGCAGTTGAGTAATGGTCATGTCAGTGATAACCAATTTCATGTTTTTTTTCTTTTTTTTTTATAATTAATAAAAATAAGGCTTAACTTTTAAGATTGATAAGTGCAAAAGTTTAGGGTATATTGAATTTTAATAATTTCTCGAGAATATAGTTGTACATATGATTAGCTGTGATAATTTAGAGCGTGGAGGATGTTAGTTTTACAGTAAATATAAATATGGGTGAAGAGAAAAGTTAGTACTAATACTGTCATAATCATTACCAGTTTTCAGTCATTCTTAAACTTGTTTTCTTTCATAATGCTAAACAGATTGAAATGCACTGTGAGAGCACATTGATGGGTGTTGTTTGATAATAATAACGACATCTATCGAAGAAAAATATTGTTGTCCTCTAAAAAGAAGAGAATGAGTTTCTTTAACTGGGTTTTTTCATCTCGTATCAGTGAAAATAATTAAAATAAAAAGGTATGAGTATTGTGAGTTAAAACATCTTTCTGTATGTCAATATTTGATTTTCTAGGCAAAGAACAAAAAAAAGATAAATATTTACGCCATATTTCGTTGAGTAGAGAGAGAAGACCAGATTTTATCAACACAGAAGTAAGAAAAAAGTAAGTTTTATTTTTTTTTCCGAAGATTATACAACATAGACTGCTTGAATGATCTACAAGACTCATTTGACACATGCTTAGGCTACTCTCGAAGTTATTAATCGAGTTCTACATATGTTATCTTATCGAATTTAATTATGATTAATGAACTAGATATAATTAACTGCATGAATCTTTTACAATTAATATTTGCACAAATATATCAATCTTATATTTCATATTGATTCATACTTTCGCGGAAACATGTTATGTCTACTTACAATAGTGTTCAGTGATTCTCTTCATGACTGTGACGTAAGTAATAGTTGAGTATAATACCTACATCTTCATTTTAGAATAATCAACCAAATATGTCACGGTCGGTTATTGAGATTATCAGCGATTTACAAAAATTTAATCCACGAACAGCTACAGCACAACATCGTCTATCACATGATTGTTATATGATATTAGTTGGTTATGTGCAAGATACAAAACAACTAATCAAGTTGAAAAATATGATTACAACTCATGGAGAAAAAGATGTAGACGAATATGGAACTGCTGGAAGTATTTCTATCATGGAATCTGAAGAAGTGGAATTTCTACTTGAATATATGAAATTACAGCATAATTCTGAAGAACTTCTGGATGCACGTAACGAACACTTTGTTTATGAAGATAATTTTAACAGTACCCTTTCGGGTTTCGTAGCAGAAAAAGCATCATTACAAAAATTAAGAAAAATATGCCGATACTATGAAAACAGACAAGGAATAAATGTGGATAATGTAATTGCAGAACATGATGCACGTGCTGCTCAGTCATATTCATTTTTCGTCAGAAAAGGTTTGTCTGAAGATGAATCTTTAGCAGCAGCATTTGCAATTTCATTTTATACTGGATCGAAAAGTGAAGCATGTAGTCGAGGTGCTAGTCTAATTGCACGGCAAAGTAATGGAGTCGTTATTGACGATAAAACAGTCCAAGAACTGAGTGAAGCATCGATTATTCTTTATTATTTAGTCAAAGCTCTTTCACACATACCCTATTATTGGGGTTATGTTACACGAGCTTGCAACTTGAAAGACGAAGAATTGCAAATTTATACAGCTGGTGCTTTAATTACATGGATTCAATTTAGTAGTTCAAAGAAAGGAAAAAAAGTAGCTAGTAATGCTGATTTTGCTGGGCGAAATACATTTTTTAAAATCTATTCACTGACTGGTCGTCCAATCAAGGAATTTTCAAACTATCCAGAAGAAGACGAAGTTCTCTTTTTACCACATTCAACATTTCTCGTCTTCAGACATGTAACTAGTCATCATGGTAGTCAACATACAATTTATATGCGTCAAGTTGAGTTAGGTCTATCTGCATGGTCTATACTATGGGTTGATGATAATATATTTAATCCAGAATGGGAAAATAAAAAGCATATGGAATATGCATCAGCTAAAGAACTGAACAAGAATGTACATTTCATTCCTAAATCATCGACAGAAAATGCTCTATCATTTCTTCGATCTCCCTTCGGACAGATTCTAAAAAATCGAAATACATTTCGTATTGTTACTGATATGCATCGTAGCAATGAACAATCATCACCTCATAATGCTGGTTCACGTTTGATAAAAGCATTAAGACAACTCGGTTTTCGAAACTCATGTTTTGTATTCGCAATGCGTAAGGATATATGTGATCAAATTTTGAAAAATGAATTGAATGATCGAGAACATCAGAATGTCATGGTATCAACTAATACAAATGATTTAAGAAAGTTTGTCAGTTTTGAATAATCATTTTTACTTGAATTTTATTTTTTTCTTGTAAGTAATAAAAACTTTATGAACAATATGATGTAGTGATAATTCGATTCATCTTGCAAGAATATCTTGAGGGTGGATATGGGTGTGAGTGTAAGTGTAACTGAATAAGAGAGACTCACGCTCATACATATACCCACTCACACACCCACACCCTTATCATCATTAAAAATATCTGCTCGAATAAATGCCATCTATGTTTTCATTTTTCTCTACATATATTCTGACTTGTTTTACTGTATCGTAACGGTTATATTATAATTAAAGTAGCAAGAAAGATTCGTATTGATTTCTCATAGACATTTATCATTATAATTGAAGGTGGGTGAGAATAAAATATAAATGAAATATTCACACTCATTCATATTCTTGAATATTGTACTTTTATTTATTAAATGAAGTCAACAAAAAAGAACTGTTAAGTAATATACTATCATTCCATGTTTTTATAACTTTTTTTAAGTTTGAGTTGGAATTTATCCTGTCCACTGTACTTGTTTGTTCGTACGTACCATTTTCCTTTGAATTGATGTTGATTCGAATTCCAGACGACTTGAATTGTAACCTCATGTCCAAGATTCTGTATCGGATTGCCTGTTCCTTTTTTATATGTCTTTATAAGGCCCATTCGATTGGTTCTTGTCGAATAAATACCTTCAATGGTGTACACACCAACATCATCAGATCCATTACCTGTTACTTTATGCGTTTCAGAATCGAATACAAGTGAAAAACGATAAGGTCCATGCCGTATATTATATTGATAATATTGACACGACCAGACGCCTGATATAAATTGGTTAGATTCTTGCAATTCGACTTCATTTGATGGTAAATCTATATAAGTCGAATTCGAATGAGCTGGGCTACCTTGCCGCCGTATGTAATAGCAAGCTATACCAAATATGATAAGAAGAGAGCCTACAATAGCATATTCTGCAACAGTATCTTGTTGTTGACAAGTGCTATCCGTACAATTACGTGAGCTGCGATACGACGAAAAACCTACAAACAATGAATATGTATCACTATTATTTATTAGAATATTTTAAAATAATCTTCTGTGAGAGAGAGAGCCTTGGATACTAAATAGTGTTCTGTCAGATTAGACGTTATTTCGTATTGTAAACGTGTTATGACGTCAGTATTAAACATCTTAAAATATTGGATAATTCCAGCCGAATAAAAAATACTTATCAGAGACAAAGAAAACGATGTTTCATATTATTTCAAGGTTTTCTATGAAACAGAACTCCGTACATATCTGATAACTATAGGACAAAATCGATTTTGAATGAATATTATAGGTCTATTTCATCATGTCAATATCCTGAATTTTAAAAAAATTCGATCAGATTTTGTCGAACATCAATAATTTTAATAAAAAGAACTTACTTCGACTACTTCGGCTACGGCTACGGCTACCACCACCACCTTGACAATAAATGGCAATTGTAAGAACTGCAATGATCAGAATAATACGAAAAATAATGCTCATTGTGTCTTGCTTAAGTAAACTTTGATCTAAAAATTTTTAAAAGTAACTTTAAACACTGCATATTTTAACTACAATGCGTCAAATCAAATGTTTTTATACCAAACAAACAACATGAATCAGAAATTAGATTTGTTCTGTCATGTGTCATCAGTTATAGAGAATGAAAAAACTGATGAAATAGAATAGCAATCGTTTTATACATACGTTTGCAATTGTGAGAAAAAAGAGAAAATTATAGTATTTTTGGTTATCTTCGTCGAAAAATATAATATCTAACAGATGAATGACAAACATTTGCATTTATAATCAGAGGTGTAAGCCGATCGGTTAAGTCGCCGCCGTCGTTTTTCTCCCAAAAAACACAGCCGCCGCCGACGACAAGCGAAAAAAATGATATGCTTCTAGGCCGCCGCCGTCGGTAAGCGAGAAAATTTTTAAAATTTCGAGCTTCCATCGGTGACATCTATATCTTAATTTGATTTTTGCATTTTGTATTGAACATAAAATATGAAAGGATGTAACAGTTGTGGGTGTGGGTGTGTGGATTCTTTATCAATCGCACAGCCACAAGTCACACTCGCCCATCCTCAATTCTAACTGTTCATAGTAATCGATAACTTTATTACGTTGAAAAATAATTTTCTTTATGTAAATATAGTTATTAATTTAATTGAACATTTATTCTCATAAATATAAATTAATTATTTGCAAAAAAAAACAAAACAAATATTTAAACAATTAAACTCTGAAGAGAATAGTTAATGAAAGAACAAATGTTTTAATATATGTTAATCCAAACAATATATTAAATATTATAATCTTTTTCTTTTTGATTTTGCATTTTTTGATGAATTATCTAAAACAAACATAGCATAAAAAAAATCAAATAGAATACTGTGTTCTACTTACTGTTTAATAATTTATCAATATTCTCTTTGTTGATATTCTTATAAAGGTTCAAATGTTCTATATTGTCCGACACTGTTTAAAAAAAGAAATATTTAATAAATCTTTATTTAGAATCAAATTTTCTTACATTCAATACCAAGTTTATCTTTCATCATATTTTGAACTTTTTCTAGTTCAAGGTAGATTATTGCCTTACTTTAAAACGAATAATATAGTTTAAAAAACTATTATATTCAAACTAATTTAACATACCATTTTATTAATAGTAAATCATTATCAACTTGGTTTTGACTTTCTAAATATTGTATATCAGTCATATTGTATATCAGTCAAAACGTCTAAAAAAATATATATTAATAAACAATTATAAAGTTCTTAATTATTATTTACTGTTCCATCTATTCATGCGGAATGAAAGATTTGAGCGTTCAATATAATATTGAATGCGTTTATCCTGATCTAAAGTATTCTCAATTAATAAGTTCAGTTTCTAAAAATAAAAAACAAAATAATACTCTAATATTAATAAGTATAATCTTACCTCTAAGTCATTTTGTTTAAGTCGTTCATTATGGTGAACAATTTTTGAAGCCGCTATATGATTTATTTCAATTGGTTCACATGGGTGTGGGTGTGGGGTGTTTCTAATAATAAATATATATACGGGTATATTACTGCTATGAAATACATAAAAAAATTTATCAAATTTTATAGGCTTAATATTTTATTCAAACTTTCGGTGTAACGAACACCATTATCAAGAATGAAAGAAAAATATATATACAATAAAACAACAATAATGAACTTAATTGTTATTTTCTCAAGTTGCCTTATTGATTTAAAAATAACATCGCCATACTTACGACGAGTAATAACCATGAAGTCATTGGGAACAGCAGTATTAAAAAATGAATACATATAGGCGTATATTACTGCTATAAAATACATAAAAGATTGTATCAAATTTCATAGGCTTAATATTTTATTCGAACCTTCGGTAGGGTGTGGGTGTGGATTCTTTATCCATCATACGCCCACACCCATACAGCATATTCATTTCAAGAATATCTTCCAAAAATTTATATTGAGGGTGATTTTAATATGGGATTAGATACAAAATTATTTGATGGAGATAAAGAAACACAAGAATATCGACAACAACTTACAAAATACGCTTTATATGATTGTTTGTCGATGCAAAGGATAATTATATTCATGGAAGAAAAGAGTTTTAAATGTGAACAAACAATTAAACCATTTATTGAACCAAAAATTATTTTAGCTTTACCAAAAAATTGAACTCATGAAGATGATGATAATAATATCTATGAACAACAACAAAAAAATCATCAAATCAAATTAACTCAACAAATGAACCAACTGCTCCATCTAGTGAAATTCTTGAACAAAATTATATATTATCGGTTGAAGATCAATCGAATGTTAACAAATCAGAACAATTACAAAAACAAGTACCCGAAGAAGAACGAAAAAGAATTCACAATCGATCTTGTACAGTGAAGCAAAGACGACGATATTGTAGAAACAAACAGATCTTCCATAATGTATAGCATCGATTTTCAAGAAAAGAAATGAAAAATAGTCTTAAACAAGAACAAATTCCTATATACGGGGTCCAATCGAAAAAATCATCAACAAATTAACATAGTCTACATGTGGCAGTCCGCAATCCTGAACGCATGCGATCATATGAACAATAAACACAAGGATTCTTCACAAGAAAACATTATGAAGAATTAAAAGCAAATGGTCGATTACAACATCATCATCGACATCGACACCAAGATCGTTGATTGCAACACAAAATGATCAAGATACGACAAGCAATGGTTTTTCTCAACAACACAGTCGAGAAATGAAGATATATATATGTGCATTTTTTCCTTCGGTACTAGTGATACTTTTAAGATTTGTTATTTATATGATATCCTTATATACAGATAAAAGTTTTCTTTTTCTCACTATTGTATTCAAACAACATGGTTTTGTTGATATTATTCATGGGTGAGGATGACAATGCGAATATCTATCTTTTCTTCACTTATAATTTCACTCTCTCTAGTTGTCGAGCTCTGACATCATCACACTTCCTTGATTATGAAAAAAAATGTCTTCAAGGTATTCTTGTTATCCGGTAGATAAACCATATAAAATGATATATTGTTACAACGTAATTTACTTAATTAATGTTGAATTTACACAAAGATGATTTGAAGGTGTTGCCAAGGAATCCGGAAAAACAAAATCCGGAGGATGAAAAATCTGGAAAGATTTTACTTGAAGTTTATTAATCATGGAAGACACAACAAGTGAAAGATGTGGACATATTACAGAGAATCTGATAAGCTTATTTCTTGAAGGTGTAGGTATGAATTTAGATGGATCGATGAGGGTGAATGTAGACGGGAATTTATAAGTATGGACTACTTTTTTTCCACACCCTCATACCCTCAAGATGGTTTGGTTAATTTTCTTTCAGATTATTCTCACATGACTAAATCAAATAATTATATCCGACTCATTATTATTACTCTTTCATTTGAAAGTTCTGCGTCGAAGGAAAAAAAGCATTTTCCACATATGTCAAAGTACTCAAAATAACATGTCATCGCCGGACAGTTTTCTCGCATTGTTAGAATCAATACAAACAAATTTATTTCGAATCGGTGGTCCATTATTATTAGTATGTGGTGTTGTCAGTTGTGTCATCAACCTGATTGTTTTCACTCAGAAAAATCTGCGTAAAAGTCCATGTTCCATCTATTTGGTAGCAGTGAATATCGTTAATTTATTATACGTTACTTTACCAGTATTATTCCTTATATTAACAGTTGGTTATGACATAGATCTTACTACATCTAATCTGTTCATGTGCCGTTTCTATTATTATACATCGTATTTATTTGAGATTCTTGGTCCATTTTATCTCATCTTAGCTTCAATCGATCGAGTTTTAGTCACATCATCAAATGTTGGAACACAACTAAAAAGTAGGCATCGTTTAGCTTATATTTGTATCGGTTGTGGAACATTATTTTGGATATTATTTCATTGTCATGCATTATTCTTAGTAGATATACAAGAAATAGCACCTGATTATTTTATATGTTACGCTCGAGCAGGTCTATATGTCGTTTTCTTGGGTTATTATGCAATGTTCGTTAAAGCAATTATAGTGCCTTTGTTGATGATTATTTTTGCCATATGGACTGCAAAAAAACATACAAAACGTGCGTCGACGACATATTGCTCCTGTAATAATGAACACTGGAAATATAGCACGGAATTCCAAACACCCCTTTCACTCCAGAGATCGACAATTTGTTTTAATGATAATTGTAGATATTTATATTTACATAGCATGTAATGCGATGCTGGCAGTTGTTATTATATATTACCAGATCGTACAGAATATCGAAGTCACACAGATCAACATCTTTCTGAATTTAGTAGGATCTTTTCTTGTTGATATTTCATTTTGTGTTGGATGTTATGCATATTTACTTATATCAAAAACATTTCGAAAAGAAGTGAAACGTTTATTTTTTTGTTAATAAGTTAGATGTTTTCTTTTTTTTGTTGTTAAGTCTGTATGTTTCTTTGTTATCGAAAATAAAAATGAAATTATTCGTAAGATTACATTATTTTATTATCAACTGATGCTTCCTATAACAAAATGTATCGACGATGAAATTTTACAATAAATGACAAATGAAGGTTTTCTTTAGTCTATCAATGATCAGACGATGAACTATTATGTTAACACACAAATGCTTCGGCATTGGAATAATAATGAACATTGAAAGAATGAAATATCAGCTGTAAGTTCTTTTCCCAGTATAAACAGTATATCAATATCTGCATTAGCAAGCATACCTTTCATTTTTAATGTCAATGTCAGGACATAACGAACATTAACAAGTATTGATCCTGAAGTTTCGTTCTCGTTCGTATAGTGAAGGAATTACTACTAAAACTTGTTTGTTTATCTGTCGTTTTTCCGTATTGATGATGTTTGGTACTGATATTTCAAATAAACTAAACCCACGCTTTATTTTATCAATTCGATATCTTTGGAACATAAGAACAAGTAACGCTCATCCGATGGATTCGCTGACCCTTTTCTGAAAGAAGATTTCCTATGATTATCATTAAAAATGATTTTTATTTTGAATACATATTAACAATAGGAACCTGGACAGGTTCTACTTATCATAAAATCTTAATCGACCATAACTCATGTTTAATTAGAGGAATAAACGATCAGTCGTAGCCGTATATCTAATTTTTTTGAAAAACTGACTTGATTCAAAGAGTTTAAGGAGTTGTGACGTCGCATATTCGAGAATTCTTACACTTTTAAAATTATCTTAACAAAGCAACCTTACTATTCCCGAATAATCAGGAAAATTGATGTTATGAAAAAAATTGATCCTCTTTCCAAAGTGTATTCAGGAAGTTTAATAGCATAACCAAACTGCTATATGTTTCGGCTCACCCCGTACCACGACTATACGAAAAAAAATAATTCATTTAAAATGACACAATCCCGGACAACTCTTAAAACCTTTTAGGGTCGTACAACTGCATACCTACTCCTGCTCACATCACAACAAGCAAATAATGCCATATTTGCATTCACAAGTCCTTTACTCAATAGGTGTTATTAGGTCAAATGTGTAATTAAGATTTCTTTTTAGCTCAAGAACCGAATCACTTAACAGTTTCGCAAAAAACCACAAATCTTACTTACTACACTTAGGACAAACTATTTAAATCAACGCCTAGTCGTTCGTCGGCCTCCCTTCGGTCGGCCACTCACGGCTAGCCGTTACCATATGTGGTATATTTTTCTATCTATCATCTGTTACATTAGGATTTTTCACGTGCACCAAAACTATTTCACTCATAATATATCGACTCGCAATCGAAAAGTTCCAACTTTTAGATAGTACTACGTATTGTTCATCATGGTTTCCAATTTCTTTTTATTCAGACACAACGATATGCTGCCGGATTCTTTCTCACATTAGTACTCATTAAGTGCTCTCAAAAAACCATTTGAACTAACTAAGACTCATTTCAAAGCTGTGCTTTAAAACAACTTTTAAAATTAACGTCTACCGGTTCGTCGGCCTCCCTTCGGTCGGCCACTCACCGCTAGCCGTTTCCATGTTTAACCCTACTATTTCCTCCACTATTAGTTTAGCTTTAAAGTGAAGAGGTGCATTTCGTGTGAATTTTGCTTAGAAGGATACTGAGTATTTGATACTCTGATTCTCAAGAAGAAACTAAGAAAAAAAGAACTATGTTGAAAACTGTTACGAATACAGTATACTACACTGTCCCATAGGAAAGATCTTGACTTGTTTTGAATTTTATTGCACAGTTGGTATCAACGACAACTCAACTGCAGGATTTTCAACAGCTGTTCCCTTTCTTAAAACTATTTATTTAAATTTTACCAAAAACGCCGATTATACCTATCAACTAGGAACCGGCTGGATAGGGTATTCTCATCTCGATCACCATCTCGCTTTCTAAAACTGGTGGTCGTTCTCGTGTCGTTTAAACCGGATTTTTTTCAATCTGCCAGAAATAGTTTTTAAGCGCATGTCGAACAAGTGAATACTCACACCCACCGTATCCAATAAACGTTTTTCGTAAAATACATATCCTTTATGTAAAAAAATGAGGGATAAAAAATTTATAAAAAACTAAGCTCGGATTCGGATTCCGCAACCCGTATTATCTGTGGTCAACCTATATAAAAAAAAAATTTTTTCGTAAAAGAGTGGTTCATTATGTAAAAAAAATGAGGGATAAGAAAATCTTAAACAACTAACCTCGGATTCGAAATCCCTGCATCAAAATATCTCTAAAAATATACTTTTCGAAAAATCGATATTCGATGTTCTTTTGACCTTTCACCCACCCACCCACCTATTCACCCATCCCTTTCACCCTAGTCACCCAACGGACCTCAGATTCGAATTCCTGCATCAAAATACCTCTAAAAATATCTTTTTCAAAAAATCGATATTCGATGTTTTTTTGACCTTTCACCCACCTCCTGTTCACCCATCCCCTTTACCCTAGTTATCAAATAGACGTCAGATTCGAGTTCTTCGACCTCAGAAACCTTTATGGAGTCATTTTGTAACGAGTTACGGTAAGTTTTCATTGATTTATAACATGCTGAATTCTGATTGGTTTGGACACACAGACAAACTTTTACCATTTTAAGCCCATGATTTTAACGTTGTATAACCCTTTCTTTCAGAAAAGGGAATATCAGTATGTTAGGATAAAATGTGCGTTGTGTTTGTAATTCCCCGTGTCACGTTTATTGCCTTCTCACAAACATACTCTAATTTATTTAGAGTCTTTGACTATGTTCTCTTTCGTATTCTGATTGATAAATTGTATTATCAATGAGTATCGAACATTCTCTAGTCCGCAAACATGTAGGTAGATTGTTATGTATTTCATTTATCGATAATAACTTGTCAGTAATATTGATCATGAGGAGAAATTTGAGATTGATCGACGATTGTTTATCGAAAATTAAAATGGTCAAAAATCTTGTCTTTCAGATAGAATTGATTCTTTTAATGTAGATTCAGATCGAGAAATATAGTGAAATAGAATAATATTCTCTTCGTTTTCCTCTGTAACGCGTACGACTGCAGTTAATTTGAGTTGTTTAATAACTAATTTCATTATTATCCATACCCACCCACACCTACACCATCAAGTGCCTTCGACGAATGGTTTACATGGATTATAACTATAAACTATATTTAAGAAATAATTAAAAATAATTATCAAAATATCAACATACTAAAACCCGATGCTATTGTTAGTATTAGATCTGAATACGCAGCTGTTTTATCAGTGCTACCTAATGATGTTAAATCATAATGATACCTTTTGAATGTTCAAATCGACATGGATCATCATCAATAACTCATGTATTTAAAATAACTAAAAGACTTATAAACTCTTTAATCAAAACATCATTCTAACAACAATCTTTTTTCAAATAAAATCAAGGAAATATTATATATATTTACTTTCAACATTTGTTATTTGTATCATATTATATATAGATTAAAAATTTTCTTTTTCTTACTATTGTATTCAAACAACGTGCTTTTGTTGATGATATGAATATTAATCTTTTATTCACCTATACTCTCACTCTCTCCAATTGTGGAACTTTGTCATCATCATACCTGTTTGTCTACCCATGTCGCTCTTTTTTTCATAAAACCGTCGGTAACCGTCGGTTGTGCTAAGAACCAGCGGTCACCGATGGTTGAAGCTAGAACCGACGGTTAACCGCGGTTACCGATTGGTTTTGACTAGCGGATTTTAACGATGAAACGATAAACAAAAACAAACAAACTATATGTAGTGATATAAAAAAAATTAGAAATAATCATCAATATGATTAGAATTCTCTTGTTCTATTTGTTTTATCAAGATTTAGAGAAACAAAACTCATATTTTAAAGCTATACTAAGATGTCGCTTTTTTCTTTCTCATTGGATTGATTGAAATTGTTCAAGACTTGTTCATTAGATAAACGACATAATGAATGAATCGATTGTTGAAAATAGTTTTTTACGTTTATAATATCTATGTATATGATTTTCACTTTTGTTTGTTAATTTATCTAGAAATTTCTCGAACAGTTAGCTTCATTTTTAGATATCAATATTCTCTCCATGGATAAAAAAATCCTTTGGTTCTCGTCGAATTATCAAAGAAAAAAGTAAATATCAATTTTATCAATATTTTTCGTTTTAAATAATAAATTTGTATTTTTAAGATCAATGTCGCATTAAATGGTGATCAATTTGGTGATGAAAATATAATCGTTGACGATTCACCATTTAAATCTACATTAGTGAGTTATATTTAGCAGGTTCTGCTTATGAACTTTTGGCTGTTGTTTTTTTTTAGATTTATGTCAATTCAGAAGGCGTATCTGTAGATCTACTTCAGTTATATGGTGTTCAAACTCATATGGGTCGTTATGTTGCACTTGAAATGGATAAGCTATTTACGGTAGAAGAAATAACATCCATTACTAAAGATGAATTGTTAAAGGATGAACGACACTTAATTACTAAAGGTAGAACAAAAATCAGTTTTTATCATAGTCACTTCTTAAATTTAGTTCAATTTAGAAGCAGTTCGATCAAGATTCAAGCTGAATCATGAAATGCTACGGCCTGAATGTACAATCTTACATGAATGCATTCTTCAAAAGAGAAGCAATGAATTGAAAAAAAAGAAGTAATACTGGTAATGTAACAGTGCAACCTGCACCACAAGTAGCACTACACGACGATTTTGATGAATTTATTGGTTCATTTGCAAATTAAAAAGCTTCTTGTTAAATATCTTTTTTACTTCTATTTTCTTGTTTTAAGTATTTTTACTTTATTAAAAACATTTATTTCTTACATATTACATGATTATTGTTATAATATGTAATACTTCTTTATTAACTGTTTAACATACAGTCGTAATTAGAATAGTAGAATATGTACTTGATTAATGTTATTTTACGTTGTAACTCGTGTTTTTGTAGACGCATTCTTCCTGTGTGAAAACATAATGTACGCGTCTTTTTTGTTTGTCTCATTACAAGTTGATTTTGTTGAACATGTGTGATGTTAAATAATGATAAGTGATTTTTTATATTTCAATGATTTAAAATGCTCTTTTATTGTTATGCTAGAAATTGATTTTGATGAGATTTAAATAAAGTCTAACTGAAAACTAAATGTGAATTAAAACTTTTACTGTAAACTACATTCGATCCTAACACATCAGTAAGAGCATAAAGAAAATCGCCAGTGGAATGCAGTTAACGGCGGTTAACCGCGGTTAACTGCGATAACCGGAACGGTCAAATGGGCGTTCAAGCGGACGGTAAACTGCGGTTAACTGACGGTTTTAAAGCGGTTTGTATGACATGGGTATGTAAAAAAATTGTCTTAAAGCTATTTTCATTATTCTATTAATAAACCATATTAAATGATATATTATTACAACATAATTTATTTAATTAATGTTGAATTTACGTATAAATGGTTTGAATATCTTTTTGCATTTGTTTTCAAATTAAAATTGCTTCATTCATACCTTTACGGTGTGATAATTTACATTTAATATTTAAGAATAGTCAATTTAATAATTTAGAATCATTTGAAATAAAGAATGATTTATATAAACATGCAATCGAAGGAATTCTAATTTATATATGTGGATTTATCAAATACAACGATAAAAAATTTTTCTTTAACGTTAAGTAGACGTCATTACTTTATATCGTTTAATAAAAAAAAGGGTTTTAATCAGTTTATCGGAAACACTTCTCTACTTCTTAAACGAAAATTTTCTGAGATTGAGGAGTGAGTATAGACATAGATGAATAATGAAGTCCCACACCCATCAAAGATGGGCACTCTTTTCATTGTTATATATCTTGAAAGATGAACATGAACTTGAGAGTATATAATTCCAAAATCTCTATTTATTGAAAGGACGTACACTCCTCTCTCCCAATGTTCGCAGTCTCTCGAATCAATTCTATTTTTGTTGATTGTAGTTTTAGTTTCTAGGGGTTAAACTAACTTTGAAATGCATCTATAGGTTCATGAAGTCGTGATAACGTATTTGACGGTGTTCATAGAGCTATGTCGCACGCTAATCAACAACGAAAGAGTGACTATCACTAATTGTTATTTTTTTATTCAAATTTGAATAGATCTATTTTAAAGAAATACGCGTTCTTGTTGAACAGCAATTCAAAGTAGCGATTAAATTCACTCCCTATGACGATATCTGATAGTATTACACTTTATTATATTTCTTTTTATCTTGAATCGTATTATTTTCATACAAAGCATGTACCTATAAACTCGCCCACATAGAGAATAAAAGAATAAGATAAAAAGGCACAGACATGGTTACACGCTCATTAAATTTATTAAAAATATCTCTGCTTTGCTCGTGAGACTTAATTATTTTTCTTTCAGATTATTGCGACATGACTAAATCAAACAATTATATCAGGTTTATTATTATTACTCTTTTATTTCAACATTTTTCAGATATATCAAAGTCCTCAAAGTAAAATGTCCGCGTCGGACAGTTTTCCCGCATTGTTAGAATCAATACAGACAAATTTATTTCGAATTGGTAGTCCAATATTATTGGTGTGCGGTCTTGTCAGCTGTGTCATCAGTCTGATTGTTTTCACTCAGAAAAATCTGCGTAAAAGTCCATGTTCCATCCATTTGATAGCAGTGAATATCGCTAATTTATTATATCTTACTATATCAGTATTATTCGTTACATTAGCAATTGGTTATGGCATAGATCTAACTCAATCTAATATTTTCACATGCCGTTTCTATTATTACATATCGAATTTATCTGCTATTCTCAGTCCATTTTATATTATCTTAGCTTCAATCGATCGAGTTTTAGTCACATCATCAAATGCTCGAACACGACAAAAAAGTACTCCTCGCTTGGCTTATATTTGTATCGGTTGTGGAACATTATTTTGGATGTTGTTTCATTGCCATGCATTAATTCTAGTAGATATGCAAGAAATGGCACCTGGTTATTTTATGTGCTACTATCGAGCAGGTCTATACACCCTACTCATAGGTTATTATTCATTGTTCGTTAAAGCAATGATAGTGCCTTTGCTGATGATTATTTTTGCCATATGGACTGCAAAAAACATACGAAAAGTGCGTCGACGACGTATTGCTCCTGTACCAACGAATACGGAAAATACAGCACGGAACTCTGAACATACCTTTCGCTCTAAAGATCGGCAATTTGTTTTAATGGTTGTTGTGGATATTTGTATTTACATAGTATGCAATGCAATGCTGTTAGTTGTTATTATATATTACCAGATCGCACAGAATACAGGATTACCACAGATCAACATCTTTCTGAATTTGGTAGGATCTTTTCTGGCTGATATTTCATTTTGTATCGGCTGTTATGCATATTTATTTATATCAAAAACTTTTCGGAAAGAAGTGAAACGTTTATTTTTTGGTCAATAAGTTAAATGTTTTCTTTTTTTTGTTGTTGTTAAGTCTGTATATTTCTTTGTTGTCTAAAATAAAAATGAAGTTATTCGTAAGATTATATCTGTCTTTATGTGCAAATGCTTCATGATTTGAACTAATTAACATTTAAAGGGTGAGATAACAGGATATAATGAATATTAACAAGTATTGATTCTCAAACTGTGCCAGGATATTGTTATAGTGAAGGAATTAGTACTGAAACTTGTTCGTTTGTTTGTCGTTCTTCCGTACTGATGATGTTTGGTACTGATATTTCAAATAAATTATATCTACGCTTTATTTTATCAATTCGATATCTTTGAAACATGAGAATATCAATATGCTGAGCTAATATTTGTGTTGTGCTTTTAATTTCTTGTGTCATATTTATTGCCTCCTTACGAACATATTCTAGTGTATTTAGAGTCTTTGAATATAACTTCTTTCGTATCCTAATTGATAAGTTATATTATCGATGAGTATCGAACATTCTCTTTGTTTTCCTCTGCAACGCGTACGACTGCAATTAATTTTAGTTGTTTTATAACTAATTTCATTATTACCCACACCCACCCACACCCACCCACACCTTTTTTCAACTAAAATCAGGTAAATATTATGTATACATCTATTATATATATTTCGTTTCAACATTTGTTATTCATATCATATTATGACATACAGATAATTTTTTTTGTTTCTTTCACCATTGTATGCAAACAACGTGCTTTTGTTGATGATATGAATATCAATCTTTTATTTATCTATACTCTCACTCTCTAATTTTTCAATACTGTCATCATCATACTTGTTTGGTTGATAATAAAGAAAACTTATCTTGAATATATGTTTATCATTCTGTTAATAAACCATATTAAATTTAAGAAGAATAAAAAAAAGACAATTATTATTATATTAGAATAATATTCAAATATTTTCATTAATTCCGTCAACTTGTAATAATTTTAATTTTGATAGTTTAGAATTATTTTGAAAAGATCATCTTTTAAATTACGAAAATTTGAAACTATAGTTTTTTTGATTCATATTATTATGAAAAGCTGAGAGCATTGAGTTGGATTCCTTTCTTTCTTATCTACACCAATACCATCAAAGAAGAAAAAAGCTTGTCAGCGCAGCTGTCTGGGGGCTAAAACATGCAATCATACATATTCATCGTGATTCCTAACAAAAACGATCATCGTTCTTTTATCAGGATGTACGCGTAGACAGGTGTGATTTTGATGATTCGGATTGATTCATCATCCATGCAGTACCTATACCCACACTGCAAAACTTCAGTTTATAGTTCACACACACATTTTTATATGTAAATTTCATGGAAAAGATATCTATTCTGTTTTATAAACAATTAGAAATATTATATTCACAAGATATACGTGTCTAATTGCATATATGTTTCTAATATTTTGAAAGACATATACTTGAAAGAAAAAAATATCTTGTGGATCGAGACAAATATTCATCTCTTATCGAATACAAGTAACTATTTTGAAATCGTCAAAATAAAATCTATCATAAGGAAAGCATGTTACTGTGCTTCTTTGTAAAAAAACATATTTGATTCTAAAAACAAATTATTAATTTTTTATTTAAAACATAGTTTTGTTGTTTGCCGTTCTTTCTTTATTGTTTTAATTAATTATAAATTTCAAATTGAGTTATCTGTCATAATTATTTGATTGAAAATAAACTATAAAGCATAAATAAAAAGATAAATGATGAATTAATAAAAATTGAAACTCTCATATAACGTGGTGATAGCGAACTTGTTATCATTAAAAATATATAAATGTAAAAGTTCATGTATATTCTAGATTGTGTTTATCTAGAAATATTTTCGAAGTGTCTGTCATGAAAAGATGATACAGTAAAATAATAATATTAATGAAAGAAACATGTCTTATGACTCCTTTATTTTGTTATCGTATACCAACATTATAATAATATATAAAGAGCGAAACATACAGATGCTTTCACATCATTTCGTATGTAATTAAAGAAGTATTACTTTTCGAATGTTTACGGTTTGTTTTCAAGTTATCATTATTTTACTGCTTTGTTGCGTTTATTTTAGATAATTTAAGCACGAAGATAATAGATCAGTAGCGTAGAAATCGTTAATTCTTTACGAGTTTTTAACTTTTACTCGAGTTTTAAATTTCTAAAGTTTCTAATTCAAGTACTCATATTTTAGAGTTCCAATTATGTTGTGATATTTCTTTCCCACATGCCGTCGTTCCCCATCACTTCGCATACGATGATGAATTATATTTCAATCTGAGTTTAGAGAAAAAAAAGAGACTAGATTTCGGATTGAAAGTAGGGAACTCAAAAAATAGTCTGTTGAATTCAGTGCTTCAAGTCTGCAGTCCAAATCTTTCATTCACCTGGAGGACTATGGGGGTTAAGGGGACTGTGAGAAACAACGAAGACTCATAACATTCAAAGGAATAAAATAATGTCATTGATAAATGCAAGCACTTTACTGGAAAATCAGGATCTTCCAAAATTCATATACATTCTAATTTCTTGTCGTAAAAAAACTTATCCTCCAGTACTGAATCATTTTGTCTTGGATAAAAATAGTTATTTTGCCTCTGGTTCTGAGAGTAGACTTATATACATTGTCGATTATCATAAAATAGAAACGAAGTAATTCTGAAAGCTTCTTGGTCCCCTTAGTCTACTTTATCCTCTTAGTTCCGTTAGCCTTCTTAGTTCTCCTAGTCCCCTTTGTCCTCTTAGTCACCCGTAGGGCTGGAACGGTGATGAGGATAATAGCTGACTGAGGATGTCTCGGAGGGTGATGAAAGCAATAGCTGACTATAGGTGATTCTATTTGATTCATATCAAGTATTCGATTCATAGAAAACGTAATGTTTCTTTGGTTTCCCTAATCCTCGCTCAAAATATATTACGAAGGTCGAGTTCTGTCCAAAACTCAATTTGAAATATAAAAGACTATAGACTTTCACTTCGAGGCAACCCTTTCCCACCTGCCGCTGCTCTCGAGGGTGTGGGTGTGTGTGTGTAAGTGTGGATATGGGTGTGGGGTGTGAGTATGGATGGGTGTGGGTGTGGCGTGTAAGTGTGAGTGTATGTGGGTGTGGACGTGGGTATGGGTGAGGATAAAAAAGAATACCTGCACCTATCTTTATCTGATTCTTTTTCTGTTATTCACTCAAATATTAAGATAGTTATTATTAGTTATGTGACAACTCAAGCTCAACAGCTCGCATGAGCCGAATCGAAGAGCTGGGTCTTCAGTTCAAGCTCATTTGAACTGGAGCTGATGACCAGTTCAGCTCATTTGAGCTGGAGCTGACGACCAGCTCATTTTATTCATATGTTAATCATTATATTACATACAAACGTGAATAATATCCAACTATTCACGTTTAACGATTGGAAACAGTCATTTTTCCAGAAATGCCTCGATCCCGTTTCAAAAACTTTCCGGGACAACCTCGTTTGTCCCGCAAGACTGGAGAAACGAGATTTTTCGGGAATCGGGACTGCCTCGCAGGACTCTAACTTACACCCTCGCCCAAATTTGTAACGTTCACATCTCCCGTAAGAAAGTCCATGAAATTATATCCTTTTGCGGTTCTTCTAGTGTCAATAAATCCTGCTTATGGTGCCAGTATGAGCTTGAAAACTCTTAATCAATTCATGGATCTGTAGTTAGAAGCCTTTGAAATTCTGCAAAGTTTCTTGAAGTCATTGATATTGAAATCAGAGGTGTGCACAGGGCAAAGTATTCTATTTTAAACCCGAGCCTCTTAGTAGCACACACATTGTGTTACTAATAGGCTCGGGTTTAAAATAGAACACTTTGCCCCGTGCACACCTCTGATTGAAATAGCTTGTAATCGTCCGAAGCTGTGAAACCCATTGCTCCCTCCTAGAATTCATACTCACATAATTCCAGATCGATCTGCCTCTCTAAAATCTCTTTTAGATCGCTTTCTATATTAAATAGAACAACTAATCAATATATATTAGAATTCAAGATGTCTGTGGATGATAAATACCACAAAGATGAACTCGAATTACAACATATGGTGACGAATGAGCACCAACAAGAAACTGTCGTAGAGATGACTGTACAGCAACGTCGATTGAAGACAATGTAAGCATTTGAGAATTCAATTAATCAAAATGTATATATTTTATCAATTTCATTTCTAGTTCTTCAAAGACACATGGTGTTTCTAAAACAAAAATCAAAATTGTTTATGCAGGGTTATTACTTCTGTTCATCGTTAGTGGTGGCATTATAGCTTTGAACTATTATCGGACAGCACAAGGCAGTGATGTCAATATTGTGAGAGAACAAGGTAAAACAGATCAAATAATTAGGACATAGATGTCAGCAGGTGTGATCGTTCGCCATACTAGAAGTTCATCTTATTTTAAAAACATTTGAGAATTTTTTGAAATTTATTACTAGTATTTGATTTTAAAACTTGATACATTGCAAGTTTTTAACGTAATAATGTGTGAAGTTCTTGTTTATTAATACAAAAAAATGATACAAACCTAATAAAAATTCTGCAAAGCCTCTAGGAGTTTTTAAAAATTTCTTTATCAAAATTTTTAAAAAAAATGAAAAACCTATCAAAAATCTTTAAGGACTTTAATTATAGGAACGAGTTAACTCATTATGTCTACTAGTTCTTTACTGAGATAATTATAAGATACTCTATAAAGTTATGGTAAATACTACTATGATTGGATGATATATTTCAATAGATGAAACAAAGATGGTGCATGATTGGGAAAATGGAGAGAATATAGTGATGGACAATAAAATGTCAGAAATGAAAACATCACAACAACTTGAACAATTGGATGAAGATGACAATGTTGAAAACAAAAGTGAACGACTTCCTCAACTACGATCATACGTTCACCGGGATGTGAGTATTGTATTTGTTATTTCAAGTCAACTATGTGTATTTTCACTAAATTATAGAGATCTAGTTCATCTAAAAGTATTGGCCATATGAATACTTATATTCGTTCAAAGGATCGTCGTGATGGTGGTAGACGATCGTATCAACGATTTCGTTTTCCTGTTGCTCGATATAGTCGTCGTGACATGCGTATACTATATTATTTTTTCCCTGATTCGATTTGATCATATATTTCTTTTAAGCTTTTAAGGGTCCCTTTGTTTCGTTCATGCCCTGGACTCCAATCGTTGCCGATCGATCCACAAAACAAACAATTATTTATTCAAAAACAGAAGGTAGTACACGAATCCTAACTTTCTGAAAAGTCATTAATGATAAGTTATCGTTTTAGTCTATGTTATACCTCCATTGATTAATACCTATGGTGATTCATACTCGATTGCAGAGCTCATGGCTTCTAAAGATGCGAGCTTATACCGTAATGGTGGTCCACTGGTTGATCCTATTCATATGAATCGTTTTTTCCAAAGACAATCCTGTTAGTTTTCTTTCTTTCGATCATTTTTCTATATCCTTTTATTACTTTATTAGTAACCGGTCCAAATATTCCAATGATCAACTCTAGACATGGTGGTTTTAAGGGTGGTGTTCGCACTAATCTTGGTTCATTCTCGATTTCCAAACCGTATGAGACACGATCTAATATAGATTCTGCATATGAATCGGAAGAAAAAGAAGACAAAAAAGAATCATCAGAAGAACAAGAACAAGAAAACAAATATCAACCTGCTTCGAATGTGAACAATTATTATTATAAAAGACCACGTAATATATTTGAGGCAGTTGAATCAGATTTTGAATCAAAATAGCTCACATAGTAGTAAAAGATTGTATAAATACGGAGCCTAGTACAGAATTCGTGATAGCATTATCAAATCTCTCAGTTTTGACAGAGAACGACAGAGGAAAAAGTTCATCTATGCAGATGAAACAAGTATTTTCATGATAGGAATATCTAACCAGAATATAAATCACTTTATTCTTCCACTATTACATTTCTCGAGAAGAAAACTTGTTTGCTTATTAACATAGGCCTTGTTAACATTTGATATTTTAAGATCAAGATGATAAATAACAATATGTTTTTAGGAAAACCCGTGCATCGTCCAAATGAACCTGGTAAAATAAAACCACAACCAAGTACAACAAAATGTCAAAAACGTGTATTAAAAGGTAAAGAACAACTTTTATCTTGAGATGAGGGTGGGTACGGATGGGTAAGAGATAGACGCCCAAACATTTTTTCTTGAAGTCTTTATATCACTTATATTTCTCATTCTATGTATTTTTATCAAAGGCTCTCCTCCTCGTCTTTGGAAAAAATTCTCATCTAAGCCATCGCAGTCTAATGAATTAATTACATTTTATCTAATTATAAAACAAGACCAAAAAGCACGAAAGAAATTAGAATCATTATTTTGGAAGGTTACCAATCCCGACAGCAGTGAATATCAACAATGGTTAACACGTTCACAAATCAATACAATTCTTAAACCTAACACTGAAGCCTTGAATGCAATCAAACGTTGGATTGAAAAGGAATCTTTTACATCTGTAAACTTTATTGGAGATGATACAATTAAGATTACAATAACAGTTGAACAAGCATCAAAATGTTTTTCAAGTGAATTTCATCCTTATAAAAATTCTAACACAGGACGAACTATTCATCGAACCTTTAATGACATTTGTTTGCCAGATGAAATAAGCGAACATGTTGAGTTTCATCTCGGATTGAATGATTTTCAACTGATTCATAAAAAACCTTCTAAATCACATGAAACAATTCCTTCCACTGCATTTGATGAGTCACCCAGTGATACAACAACAATTGTTACGACAACCGATGCAATTGTGACAATACCCTACATTATTCCACAGTTTCTCAAAAAATACTATAACATTCCAGAAGCTTCAAAAAATGAATTATCCTCAGTGGTCTCACAAGGAGTACTAGAATTTCTTGGTCAATATTATAGTGAACAAGATTTACTTTTGTATGCAAAATTACTTGAGTTACCAATTAAACCTCTGAAGAAAAATCATATTCGTGGATATAATAATCAATCGGATCCAGGCTTCGAAACAATGTTTGATATTGGTCAAATGTCTGGTTTAAATCCTTCAGCTGACACTTGGTATTTCAACTATAATACGTACTTTAATGATTCAGGGCTTGGTGAAAATTTCTTCTCAATTGCACTTCTACTAAATCAATTGGATGATATACCACAAGTTCTATCTATTTCGTACTATGAACCTGAAACAGGCATATGTTCAAGTGTTAGCGACTGTGATAATAAGATCATGGACGCATCTAAGAAATACATAGATCGTACAAATCTTGAATTTATGAAACTAGGAATGAGAGGCATCACACTTTTAGCCGCAAGTGGTGATTATGGAGCGAATGGTGTTGAAGTAAATGGTGAAACTGTAAATTGCACAAATAAAGTGTTCTATCCTTTATATCCAGGCACCTCTTCATTCGTCACATCAGTTGGAGGAACTGAATTAATCAATATGATGTACGAAACATTGCCAGATCAACCATCGATTTGTCTCGATAAGATAGCATCGGTTGCTTGTGTATCAGATGGTGATGAAGTCGCTCTTATTTATAATGATACTGGTTGCGCTAGTGGTGGTGGATTCTCTACTGTTATGGCCCAACCATCGTATCAAAAAGATGTTGTTAATCGGTATTTTCAGGAAAGCCAATGTCAAAATAGTGAACTTCCAAAAGAGTATCCTCCATCATCAATGTACAATCGACATGGGCGTGCTTTTCCAGATGTGGCTGCACTTGGTATAAACGGTTTTACTGTGTTAAACGGTGCTCTCCGTCAAGCAAGTGGTACGAGTATGGCAGCACCAATATGGGTTGGTATTGTTTCAATTCTAAATTCATATTCGATAAATATAACAAATCGAACATTAGGTTTTCTCAATCCATTGTTATACAAGATGGCCAAAGAATGTCCAAAGTGTTTTAAAGATATAACATCAGGAGATAACATATGTTCGGAAGACACCTGCAGTGATCAGTGTAAAGGTTTTCAAACTAGTTGTGGTTGGGATCCGGTAACAGGACTCGGTACTCCAAATGTTGGAAAGATGTTGAAATATATAAAAAAGTTATTGAAAAAGAAGATGAAGGAAACCAACAATTACCACGAAGAGTAATAATGGAAGAATGACAAAAAAAACATAAAAGACAATTTAAAAATAAGTCAACATATGATATATTTACGAAAAAACATAAATTAAAATAAATCCATTCATATAAATATATCTTAGCAAGTACCTATAATTTGAGGATGTGGATGTACAGATTCTTTCTTCATTGAGATACTCATATTAATTCACGCTTACTGCTAGTTTTGGCTCTCATCATACGCTAAGATCCTTACAAGAATTTTCAATTTTGTTTTTGTTATCAGAATAGAATTGATAAATATTTATCGTAAGAAATTATAAATAGTCTCAAAATTTTATCATCATTAAAGATCTCTGCTCGAATAAATGCCACCTATGTTTTCACTTTTCTTGACATATATTCTGACTTGTTTTACTGTATCGTAACAGTTACATTATAATTAAAGTAGCAAGAAAGATTCATATTCAATTCTCATATACATTTATCAATGTGACTGAGGGTGGGTAAGAGTAAAATATAAATGAAATGATCACACTCAGTCATATCCGTAAGTATTCTACTTTTATTTATTAAATAAAGTCTACAAAAAAGAACTGTTAATTAATATTCAATTATTGCATGGCTTTATAACTTTTTTCGAGTTTGAGATGAAACTTATTTTGTCCAGTATACTTGCTCGTTCGTACGTACCATTTTCCTTCGAATTGATGTTGATTCGAGTTCCATACTACTTGAATTGTAACATCATGTCCAAGATTTTGTATAGGATTGCCTGTTCCTTTTTTATATGTTTTTATAAGACCCATTCGATTGGTTCTTGTCGAATAAATACCTTCAATGGTGTACTCACCGACACTATCAGATCCATTACCGGTTACTTTCTGCGTTTCAGAATCGAATACAAGTGAAAAATGATTCGGTGCATACCATATATTATATTGATAATATTCACACGACCAGAGGCCTGATATAAATTGGTTAGATTCTTGCAATTCGACTTCATTTGATGGCAAATCTACATAAGTCGCATTCGAATGAGCTGGTTTACCGTGCCACCATATTTGATAGCAAGCTATACCAAATATAATAAGAGCAGAGCCTGCGATAGTATATTCTACAACAGTATCTTGTTGTTGACAAGTGCCATCCGTACAATTACGTGAGCTGAGATACGAAGAAAAACCTAAAATCATGCAGTATATATCAAAATTATTTATTATTTATTAGAATCTTTTAAAATAATCTTTTGCTAAACATCCTCTGTGAGAAAGAAGTTTGAATACTGAATAGTTTCCTGTCCGAAATCAGACATTATTTCGTATTGTACACGTGTTATGGGGTCAATAATGAGCATCTTAAAATATTGAGTAACATCAGTCGAATAAACTATAGAACAAAATCAAATTTGAGTGAACATTATAGTTCTATTTCATCATGTTAATATCTTGAGTTTTAAATGAACTCGATCAGATTTTGTTGAACATCAATAATTTTAATAAAAACTTACTTCGGCTAATTCGAGTACTTCGACTACTTCGACTACGGCTGCCACTTCTACTACCACCACCACCTTGACAATAAATAGCAATTGTAAGAATTGCAACGATTAGAAATACACGAAAAATAATGTGCATTGTATCTTGCTTAACTAAACGTTGATTTGAAATTTTTTTCAAAAGTAACTTTAAACACTGTTTGTTTTAACTACAGTGTGTCAAAGCAAATGTTTTTATACCAAACAAACAACATGAATCAGAAATTAGATTTGTTCTGTCACATGTCATCAACATCATCAGTAGTGAAGAACAAAAACACTGATGAAATAGAATAGCAATCCTTATATTCGCACGTTTGTAACTCATACAGACCCGAGCGTGTGTAGTTGTGAGAAAAAAGAAAAAATTATTAAAATGAATATAAATAGGTCGCAAAATGAGAAAAGTATAATATCTTACAGATCGATGACAAACATTTGCATTTTCAATGTCTGTAGTATTCGGTTTAAACGCGTCACCTCGGAGGGTATAGTTTTGAAGTCAACAGTCAAAGGACCATCTTGGGATGTGGGTGTCGATACTGATCGTCTCTTTACATCGCACTCACAACTACACCCTATCCCACATTGTAGAAGATTCATTCAATTTTAACGAATAGTTATTCTATTTTTAAAACTGAAGAGATATGAATATTTGTGGCAGAATGAAGAGTGTTTAATTCTTTCTTTATTTCTAATTGATAAAAGCAAAAAACTCTCATGTTCAGTTTTCTAACAAACATGAATGTTTTTTACAACAAAAATATTTATTTTTCTCGATCAATTAATTGTGATGAAATTATTCGATTTTAATAATATTTGCACGTTCTGAAATACCATTTTCATTAAAAGCTTCAACAGAAAAATAATAAATTTGATCTACTGATAAACTTTTCAATTCTAAAAAATTATTCTCATAAACCATCCATGAATTGTATAATTTATTTGGAGCAATTCCCCAAAGAACATTATATCCATGACAATTTTCTTGTTGATTCCATGTTATCATAGCATCTCGTCGATCTTTATTTCTTTTTATAACTAAATTTCTAACTTTAGTTGGAACTTTACCATGACCACGACCAAATATACGTAAATCAGATATAGAAAGTTTCGGTGTTGGTACATAAATATTTCTATAGCGAATATATCGAACAACTTGAGGAGTATCAAGTTCAATATAATCATTAGGTACATCTTTATAATTATTTTTTCTATCAATTAAGATTGACCAATTTTTTCCATTAATTGAACTTTCAATTAAATAACGATGATATAATCCTTGAACTTTTCCAAAAATATTTGATTTATAATCATGATAATTTATTTGAATAGCATGTACAATTCCAAAATTGACAAGATCAATTTCAATCCATTGTTGATTATCATTTTTTTCTGCTACCCAAAATGTTTTCACATTTTCATCAACAATATTTTCAGGTTTATAATTATCATAATAAGATGATGCTTTAACTGACTTTTTATATGATAATAACATCCATCCAGTAAATTCACCCATTTTCCCTGCAACTGTTGGAGCATAATGTGGATAATCACCAAATGAAGTATCTGTATACATTAACCCATCTTTATCAAATTCGGTTGGAAACATACATATACGTCTTTCCCAATTAACATTTATTGATACTGCCATTGATCCAAAATGCCAATATTTATTATTTGGTCCAATTACCGTACTACCATGTCCAGCTCCATTCATAAATCCACCTGGTTTATATGATATTGGATTATTTGGTGCATAAGTATATGGACCAAGAGGTGATTTACTCGTATAAACACCATCACCATAAACATTAAATTCAGTTCCAGGTGCTGCATACTGCATATAATATGTATTGTTATATTTTGTTAACCAAGGACCTTCAATATATCCTTTAAGTACTTTATCACCATGATTTTCACCAAAACGTTCCCATCCATGTTTATTTTCATCTAAATTAAATAATTCATAAGTTTGTTTTGATGGACGAAACATATCTTGTGCATCAAGTGTTTTTGCTCGAATAGGATATGTATTTGATGAACCCCAAAACATATAAGCTTTACCATCATCATCGATAAATAAATCTGGATCTTGTAAATCATGCATAATTAATGGTATGCCTTTCCAATCACCTTTCTTTGGATTATCTGTATAAAGAATGCTCATAGAACCGGACGGATCACCAGTTACATATAAAACAGAATCATTAAAATTATGAGCAGCTGGAGCATTTGATCCTTGAAAATACCATTTTTCAGGTGTTATAAATGACCATTGAAGTAAATCGGTTGAATGCCAATAACCCATTGAACGTGTAACAAACATATAATATTCATTTCGAAATTTAACTACAGCTGGATCAGCACCAGAACGATAGGAAAAACTATCAATTGCATTATAAATACTATATGTATAATCAATATTTATTGGATTACAATAAGTACTTGCTTGACCATTAATATTCGATAAACAATAAAAATTGAATATAAATAAAATCAATGATATTTTAACTATTCTACTCATTTTGATGTTTATCGTATGAATATAAAAATACAAGATTTATTCTCTTTTATTTTTCAAACATGGATTAAATTGACAGATGTTCGATTGATCCTTAGAAGTATATACAGTAATCACTTTTTTAAATATCAAAGCATTATTCTATGATGAGAAAATGTCAAATAATTATTAGGTTAAAAAAAACTATTCTTTATTTTATTTTTCTTTCAACATATAATATAAAATGTCAACTAGAATGATTATTGTCTTAGCATTTTCTCTTTCTTCACTTGCAATAGTCAACAACATATATATATTTATTTATTTTCCACTTCAATAATAAAATAAATGAAGAAGACTACTACCTAGTAGAATATAGAATTAATTCATAAAAATTTTATAAAAAATACTTAATTAAACATAATAGATAATAATTATTGTAAATTTACTGAATGATGCCCATTAGAGTTTCTTTTATGTTTCGCGTCTACGCATTTGATGAAATAATGAATAAATATAAATTGGCATCCCTATATGTTCACTCTAATCAACATATTTCAATGAATTGAGTTAAAATGAATCTCGAGACGATATAAAAGATGTGAGTATCCAGCTAAACTAAACTACATCTTTTTTTTTGTTTTGAAAAAGAGGATCGACAATTTTTGACTCTTATTCAGTTTAGTATTCTATATACCAGTTGTAAAGCAATGGCAATAACAATTTTACCATTCATACAACAAGGAATAACTCGATATGGTATTACAATTTGTCTGATATTGGGTCCTCTAGGAAATATATTCAATTGTATGGTGTTTACACGGAGTTCACATCGTAATATTCCTAGTTCAGTTTATTTTCTATCTCTCTCGGTATTTGGTATTATTCATTCAATTTGGTCATTTACTCCAATTCTTTATGCACTTAATCATCCTGATCCTCAAAACTATTCATTATTCTATTGTAAAATACGATTATATGGCAGTCATAGTCTTGGCCTATGTCTTCGTTATGTTATTATGTTAGCTTGTGTTGATCGATTTCTTGTCACACGTACAAATGTTCATATTCGTTCATTAAGTTCAGTTAATATGGCAAGAAAACTTGTTTTTATTATGTTTGTATTATGTTCATTAATAGCTATACAAATACTTGTCACAGAGGACATAAAAAATAGTATCTGTACTATGTTGACTACATACAAATTACCCTATTCAATTTATCAAATCATAGTTGTTAGTATTGTACCACCAATGTTAATGTGTATCTTTAGTATTCTTACTATTCGTAAACTTCATCAACGACATGATATTATTCAATCAAATGTTAGAAGAAAAGATCGATATCTTATGCGTATGGTAATTGCTGAAGTTATGATAAATGTTTTAACATCAATTCCTTATTCAGCTAATCTTCTCTATGGAGCATTAACATATTATGTTGTAAATAAAAGTGCTCTACGACTGGAGATTGAATCATTTATTTCCTATATTGCTCAATTTCTTATTTATTTCTTAGGTATTGCACCTTTCTATCTATTTATATTGGCATCAAAACCTTTTCGAAAGGAATTCATTAATTTATTCATTAACTTTTGGAATAAGTACATCATACGATTAACACGAATTGTTCCATTATATGACCCAAATATTTCAAGAATAAATAATGGTCGGGCGATTAATCATGACAGACAACAAAAAGCTACATTGAATCAAGAAAAAAATATCACATCGATAGTCTAATCGTATTATAACATTAGTAGCAAATTCAACGCTTCTTCGTTGGAATATAATTGTTTGATGTACTTGACAATGAACTATTTATTATTATTCTTGCTATTTACTTTTTTTTCTCTCAATTTGCTCATGCATTTTTCTTGTAACCTTCGTATGTAACGTGTTCGTTTTAATAAAGTAGATATATCAACTATTAATATTACGAAAACAAAATTTCAAGATCAAGTAGAATTTTAATAAAGATATATTTACTTGCAAATTTTCTCATAAAGATGAATTTATGAAGGGTGTGGGTATGAGATAGAAACCACACCCTCAAACAAAAGTGTTATATATATTATAATTTCATAATATAATATTTTTTTGTTTTTTTAAAAAATCATTTAACATATTCATTATGACATAAAACTAAAAAAAAAGAAACGAATTAAATTATTTTAATTATGTCTGAAATATTTATTTTTCTTTGTCACTCATTTATTATCATGTTTACCATCCAATTCAAATTCATTCGTATATATAGATAAAACAGTATAGAGTATACGTTTCTATATTTATTTTCATACGTTTTGATCATGAATGATAATGTTATCTGAAGCATTACTAATTTTTGTATACGGTTGAATATAATTGCGTTAAGGCTACGTTAGAAAAAAAATTGATATAAGTGTAGATGTCTATAAAAATTATTTGAATATAAATGAAACTATAAGGATTCTAATATTATATTTAAATATTTTATTTATTTAAATTATTTCTTCATGATTTTATTTTATTCGTCCATTAAAATGAAGATAAGACACGTCATGGTTAGATTTTATTTTTTCTTAAGCATATGTTTTTGTTTTTATACGACATTGAATGATACAACTCGATAATAAATGATGATAGTAAAAAAAAATATATATAGTAAAGAAGAGTATCTATCGTAGTATAACGTTAACCGTTGAAATTATATTATATTTTCTATCTCTATTGAAGGAAGGTATTTTTATTTGAATCGTTTTTTTTCTCTATTAGATGAAAAAATAATATTATTTTACTATTTAATTAAAGATAAGAAAAAAATTGTTCTAGACTTATTTTTATTAGAATGTTGAAATTTCCGTCACCTTATCAAAAAGTACTTCCTCATGATATTCCAGTTATTTATCCTCAAGATTATACGAAAAATACTACTATTGGTAATCGAATAGTTGGTTCAATTGTTGGTTTAGCAGTAGGAGATGCACTTGGAGCTAGTGTAGAATTTCGATCACATCAATATCTATCGGCGTATCCTATATTTGGTATGATGTCTGGTGGTACATGGGGATTAGAAGCAGGTCAATGGACAGATGATACATCCATGGCATTATGTCTTGCTGCTTCACTTATTACGGAAAAAGGTTATGATGCTTATGATCAAATGGTTCGTTATAAATGGTGGTATAAATATGGTTATTTATCTTCAACTGGACATTGTTTCGATATTGGAAATGGTACTCGTGATGCATTAGATGAATTTTATGCTCGTCAAAATCATCTTAAGAAAAAACTTAATTTACAACATGATTTAGATGTTGATCAACTTCCTCGTCGTATTATTCGAGAAATGCGTTTTAATGTTAATTGTAGTAAACCAGAAACTCTTGGAAATGGAGCTTTAATGCGTCTTGCTCCTGTACCATTATTTTTCTATCGTAAACCATCTTTAGCTGTTGAATTATCAGGTCAAAGTGCTTGTTTAACACATGGTGATGATATAGCAATTGATGCGTGTCGTTACTATGGTGCTTTAATTGTTGCAGCTATTATTGGTGAATCAAAAGAGAATATACTTAGTGAACAATTTTATCATACACATCGAACATGGTTTGGTATAAAACCACTTCATAGTGATATTATTTATATTGCTAATGGATCTTTTAAACAACCAGGTGGTTATAAAGATGGTATACGTGGTAAAGGACATGTTGTTATGTCACTTGAAGCAGCTTTATGGGCGTTTTGGAAAGGAAAATCTTTTCGTGATGGTGTACTAAATGCTGTTAATTTAGGTGATGATACAGATACAACAGCAGCTATTTATGGTCAATTAGCCGGTGCTTATTATACATATCAAAAAATTCCACAAAATTGGATAAATCAATTGTATGCAAATTCTTTAATTATTTGTATTGGTCAATGGCTACAAGTTTCAGGTTATCGAGAAACACAAAAATCTAAACATAAAAAGGCTCAACGAGTTAAGAGTCTTCCACCAAATCTATTAAAACAACATACTCATGTGAATAAAATACTATCGGGTGGAATACAACATTTACCAACGGAAAAAAAACATAAGAAACGTCATCGTAGCAAACATGTTAAATCTCCTCCAGTAATCGATCTTGCAGAAATATTATTAAAGAATGAATTATTTTAAAAAAATAAATTATATATATATATATATACATCAACCAATCGAAATTTGTTACTTGAAAAACAAATGTCGTCTATACAAAAAAAAAACTTTTTATTTTAATTTATATCTTTCGAATATATATTTTTTCTTGAAAATATTTTGTAAAATTAAATTATAAGTTATTTAACATTATTTGTATTCTAACAAATAAAATTATATAACAACTATTTAGAAAATTTTATTTTACTGATAAAATGAAACATTATTTTTATTGATGATCTGTTCGATACGTTCAATATTGTTTGGTTCATTACAAAGTTCTTTTGAACAAGAAAATGAAATTGAACGATGAAGATTCGATGATCCTTTTGACATTGGCATTTTTATTGCAGCAATAGTAACAGTAGGTGAAGATGGTTCATCTCCACATATAAAAGGCCATTTAAATGCATTTGAGTCTGGAACACCCGTGTTCATATTAACGTTTCTTATTCGCTCATCAATGCATGTTCCATTACAAGTAGTAATATTACCATCTTGTTTATAACAACGTGGAGAATTTGAGTCAGGAAATTTCGTAAATACATCCATCAAAACATGTTGCATCTCTTGATAGTTTCTCTTTGCTAGTTTTGAAATCATGGAGAGTAAAAATGTTTCGTCACATCGGTCATTCAATGTACATGAATAGAATAGCTGAGTGACAATGGAAGTACTGTTTATAATAATACGCTCGTTAACATAATCATATCTATCTTCATTATCTGTAAGTGATCTTCGTTTAAAATCATCATCCATAACAATACCACCGAATGTAATTTTAATAGTTCGAGTTACATGATCGAATACAAGTCCAGTTTGACAGAGAGTATCATATCGTGTTTCATTACATTTATTAGAAATGATAAATGGATCATCAATTGATTGAGCAATATGACATTTTGTATGACAAATATTGTATGGATTAGCGCTAACTAACAAACCAAACTTGGTTATATAGAAAAATCCGAAGAAGAAGAAGACAAACATCATTTTATTAATAAAAAAAAACATCGAATCTTTTTATATTCTGCTATTAAATACTCGATAACGATACCTCTGAGAACAAGAACAGATGTTTTGAAAGTTTTATTTTCGTGATGTAATCATTTTTTATAATTTTGATCGGTTGATATTGTCATTCATAACTAATAGATTATTTTTTTTAATATCTGCAATTGTTTGACATCCACATAACATCATAGCTAAGTTTAATTCCTTTTTTAATATTTCTAAAATATTTCTCACACCTTGTTCTCCATCTACAGCCAAACCCCATATTATTGGTCGTCCAATAAGTACTGCTTTTGCTCCTAATGCTATTGCTTTCAAAATATCTGTTCCTCGTCGTACACCACCATCAACATAAATATCTATTTGTTGATTATGTCCAATAGCCTTTATAATATCGGATAGAGCATCAATTGTACTTAAACTTGAATCTAATTGTCGTCCACCATGATTTGATACAATAATGCCTTGTATACCATGTTTAAGAGCTGTAATAGCGTCATCTGGATGCATAATACCTTTGAGAATAAGAGGTAATGATGTGATTGAACGTATCCAATCAAGATCTTTCCATGACAGTGCTGAATCACGCGGTAATTCACGAAATTTTTTACCGAATTCATTATTATTAACATCAATAAGATTTTCAGCACGAATACCATCAGGCAAAGAAAAATTACTGTGAATACTAGGTTCTCTATTACCTGCTGCACAGGAATCTACTGTAAGAACTAGAGCTTTGTAACCGCATCGCTCAGCTTGTTCAATTAATTTCTGTGTAAACTGACGATTTTGAAATACATAAAGTTGATACCAGAGTTGTGACTGACTTTGAGGAAATTTTTCTTTAATGTAACGTTGATGTTCATTAGCAATTGCTTCCATATGTATTGTTGCCATAGTACTGACACACATAATGGTTGAACAAGCAACAGCAGCTCGAACAGTTGCTAATTCACCATGTTCATCATTGGCTAAACGATGAAAAGCTGTTGGAGCAATAATAAATGGAAATGAAATTGTAGTTGTTGAATTTAAAATTTGAGTTTTACAACTTATAGAATTTGCTGTTAAATTTTCTGAAACATCAATAAGTATTTTTGGTCGTAATTTTATTCGACGAAAAGCTTCTTGATTATCAGCCAAGGTTATTTGATCATCTGAACCAGAACTATAATAATCATATGCCATTTGTGATAATTTTTCTTTTGCTCGTTGATGATAATCTTCAATATTTAATAAAACTCGATACGATTTTGTATTGATATTCTGCATGATAATACACGTTTTTATATATACAATGCTGATGAAAAAATGAAGATTTCGTTTAATAAATATAGTTTGAAACTAGTTACTCCTTCTATGTCGATAGATGCTTTCGTTAAATGTATTTTTTATCTTTCGTTGCTTGACTTAAATAGTAATAAGAGAAGTGTAAATACATGTATTTCACCTCTTTTTTCTTTCTTATCTATTGTTATTACACAACCATTGCTATAAAATGTAACTGATTGGTTTACACTATCCTCAATAGACAACAACATAATACTCTCTATCGATTGTATTCTTTCTTTCCTTCTTCTCATTTATCGCTCTCATATGTATTTATTTCATTAGATATTTGGATGAAGAGAAAATCTATATCGATGTGAGATAGAAATGTAAAATGTATCTAAATGGTAAATTATATGAATAAATTCATCGTTCCGCTTGTTTATGTATATAATACTAATAAAGCACTAAAAGTTATCAAACGTTATTGTTCATCAATGGGAAGAATACACGTGTACTATGAAAATATCTACATCTTTTGCCTGAGACAAATATGATAGAAATTAAATGCTAGTCCTTTTATGAGTAAGATTAATGAGTGAATAGAAATATTATGTAAAATAATATTTGAAGAAAAACTTAAAACTTGATCAGCTGATATTTTATTCATTAGCTTGTTATGAACAATCATGATCATGAATTTTTCTAAATATAGTACAAATTGAAAAAAAAGCATTGGTTAACCTAACGATTTATATTTTACATATGCATTGTTTAATTAAAAATTGAAATTATCATGGATTATTCTGAACTGCTGGACTATGATAGAGTTTCAGATTGGGAATCGAATGATATCAGTTGTAAAGATTTTCGTTGAAATCTCTAGACAAAAATAGAACGTTTTTAACTTTTTACCGCTCACTACTCAACTATTTTTTTATATAAGATTATGCAGAATGTTATGATATAAAATACATTGGCTATACTTTATACAAATTCAAATACTTTCGAGTAAATATTTGCATATATCAGTGAATTTCAAATCGATGGTATCATTAGTTATAATAACTTTCATTGATGTTCATGATTTTGAAATCTATACAACTATTTATTCGAGAAATTTCATGTTTATAAACTGACGACAGTTTAAATGTGATCTTCCAATTTGCAGATAAAAACTTTTATTCGTTCTACAGAAAAAACAGTAAGGAGTGTAAATATCAGCGTTATAAAAATACATAATATTGCGGTGAATGTTTATCAAGTTATAATAAAAATAATTATATATTTCCATTAGACGAGCTTTTATCAGATTTAGTCGAGGTATTTCATTCTATTGAGTCTCTATCGTGAATGGATACACTTATATTTACATAAATAGTAAGTTTTTATTTGAAAGCAAACTTTATTTTAGTCCATTTTGACCTTAAGAAAAAATATTTTCAAATAAATGGTTGTTATTGAGTATATAGATTCTGCATATAACATAGATCCCATTCAGACCTTAAAAAAATAAATCTTCTATTTAATCTTATCAATATTTAATAAGAATCATCTTTCAATAACAGTAAAAGGATTCTAAAACTATTAAATAAAATGAATAATGATAAACTTTTTAACTGTATCATAAAATAAAAAATATCAAATGTTTTTGTATAAATATAACAAAATTTTGACTTATTGATTAATTTTATTTGTCGTGATCTACGATATTTTTATATTTGATTGTAAAGAATCTATTCGACTAATTTATGAGCAAATAAATGAATCATTCAAATAAAAAACGACGAAGCTTTTTTATATATTATAAATAAGAATGTTAAGTGGTTTATTGTAATGTTATCGATAACCTTGCACTTTTTAGTCTGGAGGGTGTTGTCAACGTCAAAAATAAGTGGTTTTCTTTTTCGTCAACACACACCGCATAGATTTCTTCTTTTTTTTTTTTCGTTCGATCACACTGTTGTCATTCGGCAAGTACGTTGTTTTTTCTTTTTCATTCTTTACATCTGAAAGGAAGAGAAAAAAAAACTTTACCAACTTATATTTCTTCAACGTTAGTAAAAGAAAAAAAGAATATACAATTAGGTGTTCTCAAGGTAAGTTATAACAAAATAAAAAAAAAGAAACAAACTCGACAAAAACTCTTTTGTATTCATAGTTTACGTTAGATTCTTTAAAGAAAAGACTTGTTTATAAATTAAAAAAAAAGAAGAGTTTAATTTTATTGGCTAACATAAATTTATCATATATAAGAAAAAATATCGAATCTATAATCTATTCGTCAAGGCTTATCAGTATTTTATTGACTTTCTCGCCTATTTGCAAATACGTTAATAGTGCAAAAAATTTTAACTCATATATAAGTTAAAAACTTGCAATTTGACAGTAATCTCAAACATCGAGATTGAATAGTTTCTACGGAACAAAGTACTTTTGATTGTTAGAGCGAAAAAGAGGATCAACTATGTGTTATAATACATTTATTTAATTGAGTAATAAAATTTAGGTAATAATTATTGTAAACAAGCAATTAGTAGTGCAAACTCAAGGTAATTTTTATACAAAATAGGTAATATGAATGTATTTATTTACATGAATATATATTTTTGTAATTTTATAAAAAATATCATTAGAATATAATGCATCCTACTCTTATTGTTTTTCACTCTTGCGCGTCCTTGTCGAGTTTGGGTGAAAATGAGGTAAATTTCAATTTATGTCTACCCCGAAAAGTGAAGTACTATTTATTAAATTTTTCAATTCAGAATTATGAATAAATGAAAAATATTGTTTTTCTTTTTTGCTTTAATCTCGACTTTTACAATAGAATATTTTACTTTTTCAATGTAAAATAATGATGAAGTGTCACCTATCAATTCTCAAGAGGCATATCATCTAAAGCACAAAAAAAGCTTTATTGACACAATAATATACTAATATTTTTACTGTCAATTGTAACTAAAAATAATGCACTTTTTCTTTTTTGTTGCTAAAATATAATTGAATATTTTTAGATCAAATCTCAATATTTTTAGTATGTTAGAAAATCAAATAATAGAACGTAAAGCCATTGATTCTTTTGGAATTCTTGGTTCACTCTATGATGGAAATCAAGATCAAATTATCAAACAACATTATATCAATTCATCAATACAATCATCAGAATTATCTCATTTATCTTCTTGTATAATCGAAAAAGGTCATATAAATAAAAATTTTAATCTTCTACAATTTATTGGAATTCAAGATGAATTAAGACTTCATTTATTATTAAATCTAGCTAAACGTGTTGGTATAGCTTCAATTTTAAATTATTCACGTCGAATAAATGAATATACACGTTTTCTATATTTCTCATCGATAATACGAAAAGAACAAATAATTATAACATTAGAACAAATTCAACAATTAATTTTATCTTCAAATTTAGATTTAAATGCTACTCATATTATTCGAATGATAGATTTTGGTATTGAATTTATTGCTATTTTACAATTACCCTATGAAATTAATGTTACACAACAAATTGATAATATACTTGATAAAATTCGTTTAATACTTTTAAATAATAGTGATAATAATACATTAATATTAACTAACGAAGAAGAAACTATACTTGAAAAATTAATTAATATAACAACTTATTCAAATATATCTTCATTGATGACTGTAAATCGAGTTTCAGATATATTCTATCAAATAAATCGATTAAAAATGAATTCTAATCATTGTCATCCATTAACATATTATCTTCAATCAATTGATAATTTAGAATCTCCATATTCATCAAAAAATATTCTATTAAAAATATTATCTGCAGACAATTGTAAACAAATTGAAGAATATATTTTACAATTTCGAATACCAATGAAATATTTAGAAGCATCAGTCAATCAACATATGCCAAATTATTTATATGGACATCTTCAAAATCGAATTTATCATGTTCGTCAACAATATTCTATTCTTAAAGATATTTATATGAAAAAAATTCATCAATTAACTAAATTATTAACTATTGCTGATAAAGATCAATTTAATATGTCGATAATTTTTCAAGAATTAAATTTTAATGAACAAAATTCTATTAATCAATTATTAAAAGATGTTTATGATTTAGAAAATGAAATACAAATAGAAAATAATTTACGTAAAAAACAATTAAATGATGACAAAATATCAGAACAAGATTTGGATGAAAATGATAATTTTCTTAATACAAATTCTACAGCTAATATAACTTCGGATTATGATCCGGATGGTGATGATACTTCTTCACAATCATCAAATAATACTAATGATAATGAAATCGATCAGACAACACTTTCCGATGATTCATTTATAGAAAATGACTTACCAATTTCTAATGAAATAATAAATATTTTACTTCTTGGTGAAACAGGTGTTGGAAAATCAACATTTATTAATTCTTTAGTAAATTATTTACATTTCAATAGATTAGATCAAGCTCAATCAAATAAACCAATTGCAATAATTCCTGTTTCATTTCTTCTCAATAACGATGAACAATTAATTGAATATAATGATTTAAATGAATCAACTAATGAAAATTTTAATTATTCTGGTCAATCAGTAACACAACAATGTAAATCCTATATATTTCATCTTTATAATGGAAATAAATTATGTATTATTGATACACCTGGTTTTGGTGATGTAAGAGGTATTGATCAAGATAATTTTAATATGGAACATATTTTAAAATATATTAATAATTTAACACATATAAATGCAATTTGTTTTCTTTGTAAACCAAATCTAGTAAAATTAAATCAATATTTTCAATCATGTTTTGTACAATTATTTGATTTTTTTGGAAAAAATATTTCCGAAAATTTTATATTTTGTTTTACTAATACACGTTCAACATCGTATACTCCTGATGATACAATATCATTATTTCAACCAATATTTGATTTATTTTCATTGGATGATATTTCATTACAAAAAGAGAATATATTTTGTTTTGATAATGAATCGTTTCGTTATTTAATTGCTCTGCAAAATGATATTTCATTTAATAATAATGATATAGTTCAATATGAAAATAGTTGGAAAACATCAACAAAGGAATCAAATCGTTTGATTAAATATATTTGTACAGGACTTAATTCATATTCTTTACAAAATCGATGTCAATCTATAAAACATGCACAATTTCAAATTTTACATCTCATTCGTCCAATATTAGAAACAATAAGAAATATATTTCGAAATATAACTTTATGGAATATTGAATCTCCAAATCAATCAATTGAATTATATTCAACAGTTATTCATCATTTAGTCTATAGTTGTCTGTCATGTAATCCAAAGATAATTAAAATTGGAAATTTTGGAATAATAAATGATTTTCCACATGAAATGCAAAATAAATGTCAAACTTGTCAATGTTCGCCTAATCGACATATTCAAATTGAATATTTACTTAATTATAAATTATTAAATCGTCCATCAAAAAATAAAATAAGTGAAATGAAAGAACAATTATTAATTCTACGAAATGCATCTGTTCAATTTGCTTATTTTCTTAAAAATATTGCGTATTGTACGAAAGAAAATGTAATTTTAGTTAATTTAATACGTATGATAGAACAAGAAACATATATTTGTCGTCATTCTCAAACAAATTATCTTAATGTACAGTTAATTAAAGAATTAACTCAATGGAAACAAAAATATGAAGAATATTTCAATGAAATTATAATGAAGAATATGCATAATGATCTTGGTATTATTTATGAATCAATTGAAAAAGTAGAAAATATTTTAATAATTAAAGAACAACTTGATGCTATCAAAATGGGTCAAGAAATAATGATGAAACAACATGAAATTCAAGCAATGCAAATTTAATACATCCTATATTTATTTATTATCTTTTAATAAATAATTCACAATTTTAGAATGAATATTTACTGATACAGTAAATGATAAACAATTTTATATATTTATTTTCATTAAAACTAGATAAATTGTTATTTGAAATATTGATCGATAATAAACTGGTGATATTTATCTAAATATTACTTGCGAAGTTTTTTCTTTATAAGTAAAAGTGTATATCGGTGTGGGTGTGTGTATTCTTCTCATTCATTACCCACACCTACTTAGGATTGTATAGTTATTTTTAAAATGTGCAGGTGTGAGTGTGTAGCTCGAGATGGCTAACTCTAGATGTGAAGCTGGAAATGTGATGATGGTGATGATTTTATTGAAATAAATCAGCACTATATATAGTACAGCGTAACAAAGGTGTAGCTGGACAACGACCATTCAGCTTCACAAAGGGAGAAATGATGCAAAGAAAAAGATGATGAAATGGGCATGATGATAGAACAGATGATAGAAATGACAAGAACCGAAGATGACTAACATATGTGAACATATGTAAAAGGAACAGGGATATATGTACACATATGTGAGAAGAACAGAAAAAAAGAAAAGATATATATGTGAGGAGAGAACAGAAGAAAAGAAAAAAAGAAAAGATATGTGCTTGGACGAGAGGATGATATATATCACCCTCTAACAGCAAGACTCCATCGCTCAAATAGTTTATTTTTTTCATATTGAGACACTTCTTTCTTAAGAATTCCACGATCAAATGTTGAACTACGTAAACGAATGATGAACTGTGTTGTATATAATTAGTAATCGAATCGAAGTTGTAATCCATGTTCCTCACTTTTATATGTACTGTAAAAATATTCGCTTGTTGCTGTCCCTTATGAACAGACTCGACCGCGCGCTGAGTTAGAGAGATTGTAATTTTCCGCGAAATCCATTTGTACAAAAAACAGTGTTATCTTCACTAGAGATTGCTTTGATCTGTTTAACGAAAGACTCTTGCTAAGGGTGAGGGCGTGAATGGATGTTGGTGTAGCAGTAAGTGAATAATTAATAACTTGATTCTATGAAAATAAAAGAATTATATTTCATATATTTAAATGAAAATTAATTAAATCTTACCATACAGTCGTTGATATCTGCTTTTATAAAAATATTATTAAAATATATACTACATCGTTTCTCAATTGATAGAATAATATTCTTACAGGTATTACACCTGACAATAAAAATATTTCCTTAATAATTAAAATAGAATAGTATAATAAATCAAACCATGAAGGAAAAAGTATAACAATTATCAGTCGATCACCAGTTAATTATATTTGAATCGCGTTCATTGTTGATAATTTCTTTGGCAAATGAATGAACATTTCTAAAAAAGAAAAACATCAGTTGAATAAATGTTTATATAACGTCAATATCAGATAAATAAAGAAATCTTTAAATAGAGATATATTCAAAATAAGGGTAGACTAGAGAATTTATAACTCTAGAAGTCTTCATCCAAGTTTATTTTAATGAAATTAATCTCAAAGAGAAATAAAGATATATATATATGTCAGTCAAGTATATGTTATAATCAAAATTAGATTTCAACTAGAAATGAAATGACCAATCTGAAAACCGTTCGAGTTTAAACAATCAAAAAGTTTTGTATATTACAAACTAATATAATTAGCGATGTAACAAAGCAAAAACTTACAGACTTGATATTATTTGTGTTTGACTTTGGTTCTATAGGCCCAAATCTGTTTCTATTTTTACCATACCATAACTGTAGTAGACTGTTGCTGTTGATACTACATCTTCCATATCCATTGAAATTTTGCTCAAACCCAGGACAATCATTCCGACCATCGGAAACGACATCTTTAACGGCCTAAAACGACTATAAAACGGCGTTTTACTGCCTTATGTCTCCAATATTCAGAGAACATTTTGTAAGAGTTTTCTCAAATTTTATATATGAATAAGCTCAACATGGACGTATACAGAAACTAGAGTTCAATATCAATGTCTGAAAAATCATATATTCAACAGTTTGTTATAAATAAAATGCTAAGCGATTCCTAAATTAGATGAAACGACTTGTTCGCTAATTTATAAGTATATTGTATACGCACTCTGATTGTATATTGCATTTATTTATACTTTTGATCTTATTCCAGATATATTCTAAAAATTAAGAAAAATACTTTATTTTATTATTTCATCTCAATTAAAGAGTAATTCACGGGGTCATGTCATCTATTTTCTCTAAATAAAAATAAATAATCATCTTCTTACCTAATGGGTTTTTAAATGCTACTAATTCTTTGCTGTTATTGTTTATCAATGCAGATGATTTAAGTGTTTCAATTGATGACATAATTTGTGAAAGCTCTAATTTCCATATAAAATTATGATGAGGAGCATTTGTATGAATTACCATCTCTGCTAAATCACACCTGACAATCTCTCTAACATAATTAATATGAAGAATCAAAGTTTCTAATTCGCAATTATATTTTAACGAAATAGCCGGTGGTTCAAATGCTCCATTACTTTCTTCCCTTGCTAAAAGTAAAACAAAATACAAATGATACATTAATAATCTTTTAATATATTATAACTAAGTTTATTAACGAAAAAATATATTAGAAAATAATTTTCAACTATGAAAATTAAATCAATCAAATGGAATTTATTTTAAGATTATTACTTAGTCCATGACAATTAACTTTATTTCAAGAAATACGTTTCTGAATGTCAATTCAACAATTCGAATTCGATTAATATTATGAAAATTATAATAGAATGATATTTTATTGTATTATAATTACTTGCATTGATGAAAACCTATTTCTCGATATTATTTTTAAGTGATGGAATTCGTTCAGTACTATGAAGATTATATTTCAATGATATTCTGTTATATTGGGATTTAATCTTTTTGAAAAAATATGTTTTTGAGTGATATTTTCAACTATTAAAATTATTTTTATTCTATGGAAGTCATATTTCAATAATATTTTTAAAATATAATATCAAGTTCTTTTTGTGCATTAATTGTATGCCTTAATTATATTTTTTATATCAAAATCAAATTTATTTGATTAAAGTTATTCCTTCCTAATACATTTAAACAATTTATTTAACTTACCTTGTTCTTCAATTTGATTTTCTACAATATACGTTATTGATGGTAAAATATGTGTATTATTGTAAAGATTTTTAACAAAGACTTTTCCTTCATAACCCGTCATTGAATCTTGTGTAATTTGATTACAACTTTCATTATTAATCAATTGGAGGCTGTTTTCCAATATATTATTTAATCCTTCGTCTTCACCACCACTGCCAAAAAACATTTGAATTTTTTTCATATTTGGTATGTACATTTCTTTAGGATGCTCTTTTGGTCTATGTATATGTAACTGTTTTATGTTGCATTGTATTTCATTAATAATATCAATTGCTGTTCTATTAGGGCCAATATTATCCCCATACGAAATAGAACTATGTGATAAAAAACAAAACTTTCTTTCATTAATAATACCAATGACGACAAAAAAAACGACAAGACGACAAACCATTCGAACCAATAATTGAATATGAAATATTAGATTCTTGCATATCTAAATCTTCATTGTCAATTATTTCTTGTTCTAAAGTAAAACATATATAGCAAATTCTTATTTTCTTACAAATATATTCTTACCTAGAACTCAGGTCAAACCTTACAGCCATTAGTCCCTGCCGGAAGACATCGGTAATCACCGAAAGTGGGAGCAGTATTCTGTGAGGGTGTAGGAGTGAGTGTCGGTGTGGGTGTAGGGATGGCTGGGTTAGTATTGAATCCATACTACACCCATACCCTCAATTTTATTTACTTCTAATAATTTATCTTGATCTTTTTGAGATAAAGTATTCATTTGATGACAAATTTCGGATCCTGAAATGTTACCATATCGATCAATTCGAATATTTGGCACAGGATTATATTGTAATACTTTTTGTGAGTGTTGATATAATTGTATGGTTTAGATAAGACCACACCTTTATCCACATCCTCACAAAGATGATAATTCTCGTAGATAGATTTTAATATTCCATTTTTCAGCAGAATATTTTTTATCGAACCATAAGCTTAGCATGCGCTTCTAAAAATAAAAATAGATATTGTGTAATTCTTAAAAGTTTCCTTACAAAAGTTCCAGTTTAGATATTATGTAAGCTGTCGGTCATGAATGAGTTGCCTACATCAAAAAAAGATAATGATCGAATAATTCATTTTCCTAAGATTCCTTTCGTAGCAAATGCATGCTGTTCTTTTAGAATGTTTTGCTGTTGATTCGATTGATTAAGACAATGATTCATTTTCTGCTGTTTTTGGTATTTTAAATCCAGCAAGCTATCATAACGTTGATTGGAACGCAATTGAGTTTTCTTAAAATCGTCATTCGTCATTGCAAAAGATCCTATCAAACATTTAGATTATGTTTTAACCGGTACACCTATAAATAAAATTATCTGAGCTGAAAATTTTTATGTAGCTGATTTTTTATATCTATCACAACTATCTGTGATATGCACTTATACATTCCATGACTTTCAATTAATCATACTTTATAAAGCCAACTAGATACGCCTGTGTAGATTGTTGCAATTTGTATCTTCAATGTTTTTTGATAGAATAGTATTTTCATCGTAATCTAATAAAATAAATCGTAATAAATCTAGTTTTGGCATTAAATGATGTGATAGTTAGAAACTGTGCATGAAAATACATCAAGTAAAGCGCAACATGATACATTTTTTGACCAAGGAATTTTTTCGAACGATGAGTACAGAGGAACTCCACGCGTGAATTTCTGATAGAGCAAAGTTTTTTAAGAAATTGTTTATTATATTGAAAGAGACCGATAAAAATCCGTTTCTAAGCAGGAAAACTGTATATCCATTTCCTATGACTGAGTTTCGGACTTCGAGGGGGCGGGTTGTGTCCGACTCAAATCAAGTGATCAGGGGAGGGCTCCTGAAAAATCAGGTTTGATCACCGAGAGAGGGTAATCGAGAATAGCAGAAGAAGTGATTATCTGATTTCTGTATGGCACCTATGGATATAATTCATGAAATTGAAATACAAATTCAATGGATTATTTTAAAACTATTTGAAACAAATACATTTGATAAATTTATTATTTTCTTCAATAATTCAATCAAATATAATATTCTCACTGTAAAACAGAACTTCCACAAGAGAATTTTGAGATTTTTATTTTTATTATTTTAACTTCAATTATTTTTTATTTTGTGACAATTACATTTAATTTAAAAAACAAAAATTACATGAATATTAAAACTATCAGTTCTGTTTCTGTTCTAGATTGCAGGAGGAAAAATTTGATGAATGTTTTTTTATAATAAAAGTGATTATAAGTTTATAAATTTTTCCGAATATCTTCGAGTAAACTTTCAAGTGCCTTGCTATCTTTACCAAGAAGATCGATGAGGCGTTTACGAGCTTTTTGCACAATACCATGCCATATTGACGACAGCGCAGCAAATCGTGTTTCAAGTACGGTAATGACAATGGCCGAGACGAGAATTTGGTTATTTGTCGACTGTTGAAAGTCACTCAGCGGTTTTCCAGTTAGTTTTTCAATGCTTTTTGAATCGAAATCCCAGGAGCCGTTAAATTTTTGCTTGCTGACCAAATAACGAACAATATCTTGATTGTCCGTTGGCCACGCATCTTCCTTTGCTTTTTCATTGGTGATACTCGACGATGCGTGAACAGCCCATGGTTCATCCATATCATCATCACTATCTTCACTGTCCGTCTGGCACGCACCTTTTCTTACTATTTGTTCGGTAATACTCGATGATGCGTGAACAGCCTGTGGTGAAAAGCAATCATCACAATCATCATCATCCTCACTATATGAATCACACATCATCGTTGGGGACATTGCCGCAAAGCAATGCGCCGTACTTGCACTTCTAGCGAAACGTACTGAAGAATGTATCCCTAAATGTTGATCATCTGCGGATATTTGAATAGGTACTTCGCGCAAAACCATATCACTATTGTTAGCATTTACTCGTTTCTCAACACCAACAAAAGCTGTATGAGGACTGAGAATATTATATTTAAGTGACAGATCAATGATGCGTTTTTGTGTAGTTTCTTTCGTTGTTGCACTTTCATCTTTTGATACAACTGGCTGTTGAAATCGAGTTTGCCGTGAGCCTACATTGCCTTTATTGATTGATGGTGGCAATTTAGAATGCTGTAATTCAAGAATAAGTGCTTTAGCAGCCAGTCGAGCGATTGTCGCGTTGTTGCTCGTCACGGGTATTTGAGTGATGTTTGCTTCACCTAGTCGATGTTGTTCTGTCTTTAATTCGACACTAGAATTATGATCGAATTTATGAGATTTATCTTCAATGAGAGCATAGACGATAAGTCGATCGTTAACGTAAACAGGTGGTGTTTTTGTCGGTACATTCAGTAATGCTGTCGTGCCCAAGTTCCATTTGACTTGTACATCTGTAATACAAGACTGTAGAGCCTTTTGTAATTGTTCACCAACATGTACATCGGCACTAGTATTCGGTGGAATGAAAACAAAACGTCCATTCGTCGCTCGAGCCAAGCCCTTCACAAGCGAACGACTAGGAGAATGACCCAAACCAAAGGAGAAAATGCGAGAAGAAGTAGCCATTGAACGGCAAAGATCGAGTACTTGATCGACATTTGAAATTTCACCATCGGTAAGTAGAAAAATTTGACGTGCATGACCTTGAGCTGGAGGATTTGCTTCAAGCCATTGAAGAGGACTTAACTAGAAGAGAACAATCATTGTAAAATGAAAAAATAAAAAATGAAGAAAGAAGGCATACTCACTAGTTCAGTACCACCCAAATCGGCTTTCATTCTGTTGATTAATCCTTCAGCCTTTTCAGCATTCTTCTCATCATAGACAGTAGTGATATCGTTAAACAGAGTCTGATGAGTAGAACCGAATCGAACAATATTGAATTGGCAGTTGACTGGAAGGCTTTTGAGAAAGAGTAACAAAGCTTGGCGAGCCAGACCGATTTTACCTTCATCTGCCATTGAGCCACTGCAATCAACAATAAAAATAAATTCATTCATAGTCTCAACATTATTCATAACTTTTTGACAATCTTCTTCACTCGGTATAAATGAAGCCATTACTGCACCAGATTCAACAGCAACAATTGTGTTCAATCGATTCTTGCTTAATTCGATATCAACGAGAATATCACGATCCAATTGAGTGTTATCTTGAGCAAAGGTAATCACATAAGCATCTTGATTGCGAAAATCTACTTGAATTGGATGGGAAGCTGAACTAACACGAGCAACTCCTACTTTTTCAATCTGACATTGAAATTTAATAGTGTATGGACTTTTTTGAACATATTTGGAGGTAGTAACAGCTGGGGAACTGAGTCCACCTTTATCAGGATTGTAGCGAGGTGCAATCGTTGTTGGGACAACAAAACGAATTTTAGTACCATTTTCAACTAGATTCAATTCAGAGACATACGAAATAGTAATTTTACATTCTTTGCCAGGTGGAAGAGCACCAACATTGATGATGAAATTGTCTTGCGATTTTTCATCTTGTTCAAGTAAATAAGCTCCATGACCTTGTTGAAGTGCTTCAGTATACTCTTGCTGAGCTTTCTTCTTCTCTTTCAATTGAGCAATAATTTCACGATCGTCAATGTGTGCCACAAAAGCATATATAGCTGCTTGTTCTTCGATAGGAAAACAGTAGACCGCTTCGATTGAGGTTTTTTCATCATTTCGAAATACTTGAGTAATCGTTACATCGGCAGCAAACGATCGAATAGTGGCTTCAATATTCACGCTTTTGAGAGGTACGTACTGCTGTACTTCCGAGCGTTGAATAACTATCTGTGAGTCTTGTTTGATTCGAAGCATGTTAAAAATCTGTGTGCTTTTTACGTTTACCAGTTCTTCTTATATATCGTATATTTTTCTTCTACCGAGGAAGCAGACACACGTCAACAATATGATTCAGTAAATATTTAACACGTATGGTGAAATAACACGCGAAGAACGAAAAGAAGTTACAGGAATAAACGAGAAAAGATCCGAGAGAGAATGGATGTTGAGTTATTCATAGAAATGAATAGTCAGAATGATAAGAGAATAATAAATGATAAACCCTGATAATTGCACAACATCAAAAAGACAATGATGAAAGCACATGCACCATTTCGTATGTTCTCTACCAAATCCTCCAATCACCAATGCTCTTTATATCTACATGTAAGAGAGTAATCCTGCAGATGGAGATTACTTGAAAAAAGGAACTATTTCACAATTAAAAATTCTGTTGAACATTTCATCGTGACTCTGGTTTGATTAAGGCGGTGGGTGTGGGTGTAGGTGATCAACTCAGTATCCAAATCTATACTCATCCATACCCACACCATCATTTGTTTTAGATGTTGAAACCAGTAATTTGCAGTGTAAAGATATCAGCCGAAATGTAGGGACGTAATTCTTCTCTGAGGTATGTTGTAGAAAGCCAGTTTATCTTCATTCGAAATATTATCTTATCTATAAGTAGTAATTGCACATTTGTTATTTTTACTTGATAGCATCTATCAAGAAATCTATCGTAAGTAGTCAAACTCAGAAATAATTGCTTTTGTTTATGACGAGGAAAGATATTGCTTCTCTTATACACTCGTGTCATTTCAGATAGTCATTATAGCAAAAACTTAAAAATGGCTTATGCTTGTATAGTAGGTAATTGCAAATTCATCGAATTCCCGAAATATCCAGAGTATACTAGTCAAGAATTTAATACTGTCAAGAAAAATAATGGAAATGATGATGAGACGTAAGACTTAGACTAAAGAGGGTGAGAATACAACACTAATACATCTTGTACAACTTGCTCGCACAGAACGAAGTGCTGACAATTCATTTATGAAGAAGGAAACTGGAATCAAATACATTCTTAGTAATATTATCAGCATTGTAAATTGAGATTTCGATGAAGAAATAGGTACTGATTCTTCAGATGGTTATCGTGTAGCCGTAATAAAGGAAATTTAATCTCTTTTCATCAAGAAAAACTAGCGGACAATTAACTCAATCATTGATAAAGTAAAGTTTCCACTAGCATACTTAAACAAAGCAACTGACTATTAAATTCGAAATCAGAATTTAAAACATTCAACAGAAAATCATTATATCGAAGAAGGTGTGAGATTTTTATTTGCAAAAAGACAATAGTGCAAATTTAGAATTTCTTACAAACGAAAAGAAAGTGATAGAAAATTGTTCGATTCATGAATAGCTTCAATTTTTTGGAAGGTATTCTGTAAATGGTGCTTCGATTTGCAGATGTCCATCGTGTGTTAAATACGATTGTAGATGATCAATTTGTGTACCAGGTGGAAGTGTAATTGATTTGTAAAAGTAGCTTTTTTCCAGACTTCGATCTCCAGGTGATATATGTTTACCTTGGATAATCAAATCATTATTTTTAACAGATACTTTAATCTGTTCCGGATGATAGTTTTTCATTGGTAAAGACATTTGTAGTTTCTTCTTCTGTCCTTCTGCATCAAGAACTTTCGGTGTAAAAGCTGATGTATGAAAATGATGATAATCGAATGATTGATCACGATGTTGACCATAGGGAAGTAAATCAGATTTATCATTTGTATTTGTCGATGTAGATTGAAGATATCGTTGTTTATGTTCATGATTATGTAATGGTATTTCCACAATTAACATATTGCTTAATGTCACATAAGATACCAAATGTTCAGCATCTACATATTCAAATTAGAAATTTCAAACAATTTAATAAATCTTACCAGCATGTTCATAAACAGGTTCAGGTAAATCGTATAATATTCGTTCGATAACATTTTCACTATTGCTTTGATGATGTTTCTTTTTCGCTTCTATAATTAAAAGACGACCTTCGAGTTTTGTTTGTATAGTTTCCGGATCAAAATCAGAGATATCGAGTTTAACACGATATTTATCTCCATATATTGGTGATTGTAACGCTGGTGCAACTTTCTCCTCGACCGATTGTTGTTTTGGTTGATTAATCCAACGTAATGATCCCGGTGTATTCGAATTTGTATCTTTCCAAGGATCAAACCATTCAAAATCATCTCCGAATGTATCGGAGTCGAATTTATTATCTTTTGAAGGACGAGGATAGCGATGTATTGGTAATGATGACATTGTCATTTAATAAAATCTATAAAAGTATTTAGTTAACGTGATTTATTTTAAAAATTTTCAAAAGTTTCGTTAACAAATAATCGAACAAGAAAATTTTAGATATCATCATTTGTTTTAGTATTTTACCGCCGAGAAAAATAGTACAAAACGAAGTACCGATAAATTTTTGAACTTTATTTATCTGAACAATAATATTGATTGTATTGTTGTCTCCATGAACAGAACGAAAGATGACTAACATGTATTTTATGGATCAACCAATCGGAACAATATAAATTTAATCGTTCATGTCTACTCAAACGCGTGACCTCTATGGCGACATACGTGTATATAGTAGTTGAACATTAATGGTTTGCATTAAATTATATGTTTTGTTATTTATGAACTGATAGAAATAGTCCAATAACAAAAAAAAAGAGAGCGTTACACTTCATTCATGTAATGAACGGTTGTCACACATTGAACGCGTGACAACATCTGCTCTGATGGATACTATACCGTACAAAGT